ACCTCAGGGGTCAATCCTTGGACCACTTCTTTTTATTTTATATTTAAATGATATAGTAAATTTACAATTTGAAGGTCGATTTATGCTCTATGCAGATGACACTGCAATATTCTTCAAACACAAAAACATAGAAATACTGCAAGAAATAACCAATGAAGCGCTGGTAAAAGTATCAGAATGGTTTGAAGCTAATTATCTTACAGTGAATACATCAAAAACATTTCTCCAAGTGTATTCAAAACGCAGGTGTACCGAAAAGCTGAATATATACATTAAAGACACTGCGTTAATAGAAAAGAAATCAGTGAAATATTTAGGAATTCTAATTGACTCTGACCTCAAATTCACAACCCATATCAGTAGCATTTGTAATACTATTAGCAGAAATATTGGAATGATTGCAAGAGTTAAACGATTTATCCCAAAGCAGCAGCTCATTCAACTGTATCATTCCCTCATTTTTCCTTACATCAACTACTGCTGCTTTATTTGGGGCTCTAACTATGATGAACATCTTCAAAAACTGGTAATCCTGCAAAAAAGGTTCATGAGACTCATTGAGGGTATTTTCCCACCACAAAGTGCTACCCCAATATTTAAAAAATATAATATTCTAAAAATTAAAGACATAGCCAAACTTCAAATAATACTTATCATGCATAAGTACATAGTACATGAATTGCCAGTGTCTGTAGGACGATTGCTTCAACTCTCAACTGAACCTATCCATCATACAAGGAATATCCACCATTTTCAACCTGTCTTCTCAGCAAAAAACTACAGGCTCTACTCCTTTGCCTGCATGGGACCCAAACTTTGGAATGATGTAATCGCAAAAGATATTCTGTTAGAAGAAATACCACAATCAAAGATCACTTTCAAAAAATATGTAAAGAATATCTTGCTTAGTGTATACTAAGCAAAAGTAGTGGGAAAATAGCAAAGTTATTAACAAAACTAGTAGATAAGCATCCTTGGGTATAAAGGACCCACTAAATGCTTTCAACAGGCTTAGAAAAAAATATGAAAGTAAGCAAATAAGCAATCTTTGTAAGTAAGCTTTGTATCTTTTGTAATGTAAATCTTTTGTAATGTAAGCAATCTTTGTAATGAAAGGTGAAGATACAAACAATATTGATATAAATAGGAAATGAGAGCAAATGACAATGCGTACATGAATAACAATTAACAAATTACATATGCATAGTACTTTTCACAGGCATTGTTCAGCACCTCAACAGGTGGCCCAATAATGGATGTACCAATAGGTACATTTATTATCGGGAAGGCTGCAAATGCCGGCTACAATAATGTGTTGACTGTTTTGTGTGCAACCTGTGTCATTTTCAACACAAAAGATACATCCCCACTCAATTGGAACGCCGGACTTGACGGGGCCCACCGGCAACAAGCTATGCTTAGTTGGTGGGCCCCAGAAAGTCTGGCTATGAACTCGAGCTCGAATTGACCAGAAATGTTTCCCCACTGCCATTCTGCTGTTTTCCTGTGAGTGAATGTTTAAATACCATCTACTAACCAATTATGCATGGTTGTATGAATGACTTCTTTCGTAGATGCATTTGGACAGTCATTCGCTGCATTCAGCAATGACTACTTTTGCTCTCTTTTATCATTAACCTGTTGCCCGCACTTCTTTTGCTTGATTTTGTTTCCTACTTTTCCTAGCTGGGAGTGCCGCGACTTATCCTTTATTTTTGTCTGGTGTTAACGTAAGGTGCTGTGAGTCGCTGGGCTGAGGGTGGGGGCACTCCTGGTCACCTATTAATGGGTGGCGGAGTAGTTCGAAAAAAAAAGGGTCTGTGACAGCTTAGATAAAGACCCTGATGGTTGCAAAAATGTTCAAAGCTCAAGATTATCGTTCAAACTCAAAGTTGCTTTCACAAATGCTGATGGGATTGGTAACAAGTTACCTGAATTACATCTGTACCTGGAATCCTTTAAGCCCGACATACTAGCAATTGTTGAGAGTAACTGTAACATTGACCTGCCAGACTCACTGTTACGGAAACATGGGTTTCAAATTCATCGCCAGGATAATTTGGAAGAAAGACGTGGTGGAATACTGGCGTTCGTAAAAGATGGGCTTGAAATGAAAACTTGTCACGAACTTGACGATTATGCAAGTCAATTCAAAGAATCTTGTTGGGTCTGGATAAAGGTATCAAGAACCACCAGAATGCTTCTGGGTATTGTGTACAGAAAACCAAACAGCTGCCGAAGAAATGACGAAATTTTGATAGAATTGATTACCAAAGCCTCAACGTTAACAAACAACCTGTTAATATGTGGTGATTTCAACCTTCCTGAGATTTCGTGGAACGACTCGTCGTCTAAGAATAAGAACAATGAGGGTTTCAACACACCAGTTGAAGTGCTGAACGTATTGCAAACAAATGGATTACACCAGCACATGAGGCACTTTACCAGAGCAAGGGGATCAAATCAACCCAGTCTTTTGGACCTACTGATAACAAGTCGAGCAGATGACATTGAAGGCGCTGAGGTATTACCTCCCTTCGGCAAAAGCGATCACGGCGTCATACAAGCAGACCTACTTATTCCTGATGTCAGATGTTTGAAAAATAATAAGCCTCTAAAAACGGTGTGGAACTACATGAAGGGAGACTATGAAAAGGCAAGGAACATGGCTTCCCAAGTTAACTGGACTGCCATGCTGTCAAACAAAAGTAGCGATGAGCAGTATGATTTACTGGTTGAACACCTAATGCAAATCCGGAAAGAATGTGTTCCTGTGAAAACGGTGTGTAGGGGCAGAGATAATAATAAAATGTGGTTTAACAATGAAGCAAAAAGGAAGATTACAAAGAAACACCGTGCTTGGAATGCCTACATGAGGGCAGAGAGGTTAAAGCTACCAGAGTTGGAAAGATATAGAAAGAAATACATCAAGGCAAGAAAAAGGGCTCATTATGGTCTACGTAACATCAAAGCAAAGCACGAAGAAAAACTTTTTCATCAGATCAAAACTAATCCAAAGCTGTTTTATGCGTACTGTAACTCCAAAAACAAAGTTCGAGAGCCGGTGGGGCAAGTTACTAAGGCAGACGGAACCCCATCATCATCATATGAAGAAACTGCCGCTGCCCTCAACCAACACTTCAAGAATGTTTTCACGTTAGAAGATGACTCTGACTTGATTTACGCCAACGAATTCTTCTCCTCATTGTCAGACGAGCAAATGTGTCCTTTCACCCACTGTCGGCATCCAGATGTGCCCGAATTACATTCAGTTGAAATACCTCTTCAACATATCATCAAGCTACTGAAAGAGCTGAAGTCCTACAAGTCACCAGGGCCAGATGATCTTCACCCACGTCTCCTAGCTGAACTCGCAGAAAATGTAGCAGTACCCCTGAGGATCATATTCAAAAACTCGATGGACACTGGACATGTCCCTCGTCTATGGAAAATGGCATACGTCACAGCAGTCCATAAGAAGGGATCAAGAACTGAAGCCCAAAACTATCGCCCAATTAGTCTAACCTGCATATGTAGTAAAGTGATGGAAAGAATTGTCAATGAACAAATAATGAGTCATCTTTTGCAGAATAACATTTTGAACCCACGCCAACACGGATTTGTTTCCGGAAGGTAGTGTTTAACAAACCTCCTCTCCACCTTGGAAGACTGCAGCCGCAGCCTCGATGAAAAGGTGCCTACAGACATTGTCTACCTAGACTTTGCGAAAGCTTTTGACACCGTACCACATGCAAGACTTTGTCATAAATTATACCGATCAGGAATAGGCGGTCAGCTGCTTAACTGGCTTGAAGACTTTCTCTACGATAGGAAACAGAGAGTTGTAGTCAACGGAGCCCACTCAAGCTGGGCAAAGGTGGCAAGTGGCGTCCCACAGGGCTCAGTGATCGGTCCCACCCTGTTCCTTCTGTTTATTAATGACATGCCGGATCAAATAGTAAGCCAGGTGCAAATTTTTGCTGATGACAGTAAAATCTACCGACACATCAAGTCACATGAAGATGTGGAGCGTTTACAAGAGGATCTCCAAGAGATTGAGCACTGGTCTCGTCAATGGAAGCTATGTTGCAATGCCTCCAAGTGCCAGACGCTTCGAATCGGTACCAAACAAATGATGTCCGACAGACCAGTATACATGCTCGGTGGTACTCAGCTGGAGAACACCAACGAGCAAAGAGGCCTGGGTGTTATTGTTGACTCCTCGCTGGAGTTCAACAAACATATTAACAAATGCACTCAACGAGCATATGCCAGTTGGGGCATGGTAAGGAGAACCTTTGAAAAGCTGAGGCCGGCAATGTTTACTCTCACATACAAAACATTTGTTCGCCCTCACATTGAATTCTGTCCCCAAGTGTGGTCTCCATATAAGAAATATAATATCAAGAAGATTGAAGCAGTTCAAAGAGCAGCTACCAGAAGAGTTGTGGGAATGCAAGGGTTAGATTATCCAGAGCGGCTGAGACAGCTAAAGCTTACCACCCTAGAAGAGAGAAGAGAACGGGGAGACTTACTGGAGACCCACAAAATCCTCCACCAGCTCCACGAGTGTGACCTCACCCAATTATTTAACGTTAGAAACCGAAAAGAGCGAGATTACCTCAAACTGTACAAGCCCCACCACCGAACATTGAGGAGAGGAAGATTTTTCTCACAAAGAGTTATAAATAAATGGAATTTGTTAAGCTCTCGCATCAAGATGGCAAAAACATCTAACCAATTTAAGTCAAGATACGACAAACATCGGGCAGACAGACAAGACTGACCCAAGAGAAATCAAAGTGATGTAGAAGAACGTGTAATTCAAAAAAGAAATGGGCTACAACATAGACCTCGACGTCTTCTTCCAGAGCCCAAACAACCTTGATTCTTGATTCTTGATTCTTGATCCCCTACCGAAGGTTCGTGACATACTGATCATGCGGTGGTCAGAAGGCACAGCCAAAGGTCACGAAGGATGGTGTCGGCCGCCAGCTCACCTGGTTTTCGATGGCCCTGACGAGCTCGTCCTGCTGTCGGATGAGGTCGTTGAGGTCGGAGATGCTGCCCACCGTCTGGTCCTGCAGCGACTCCAGCTGGGAGCGGAACTCCCGCAGCTTCTGCAGCACCTCCTCGTAGCTGCTCAGGATACCCTGTGGGGAGGCGCCGGCAGGTCATACATGGGGGTCGCTGACACGCTTCACATATCTCAGCGGAAGGCATCGAGTGGAGGCGACTGGAGCCTTGTTTCGACAGCCTGAGCACAAAACACCGCAACGCCAGTCACAGCACCATGACAGCTTTCTACCAGCACTTAAGGAATAAAAGGTCAGTTGGTGAAATGTACGGACTAGTTAGGCCCATTCTAAAACCACGGCCACAGGGCAAGGAAGTGACAGCCGCCAGTTAGACCCCACCCCAGTGGCTGCTGACCATCCCACCCCAATCTCCCACTGTGATACTGACCTGGGCGTCCTCCACTCCGGAGCCGAGCGGCCGGTTCAGCGCCCGGATCTCCTTCTTGATCTCGGTCAGGTAGGTGACGCTGGAGGCGATCTTGCCGTTGATGGCCTCCTGCTGGGCGGTGGCAGAGCGGAACGCCTCGGTACGCTCCTCGATACGGGAGCCCACCTGGCAAAAGAGAAACGGTAAAAGGACGTGACGTGCGATTCGAAACGAATTGTAAGCAATGTTTTGCGTCCATCATGATGAGCTAGGATTTGAGAAGTCCGGTCTGCCGAGACGTTCGGTGCTCAAACTTATTGCGCTCAGATGTAGGCTCAATACAAGCCAATGTAGCCAGTCACATCCTCAGGTCCTGTATAAAATACGGTGCACATCGGTCAGTGAGCCACAGGTGCTTATCTTTACGGTATACACTGATAGTCCAGCCCAATTTACCCTGTACCGACGACCGTTCCATACCTCCGTGTACTGTGTTTTCAGCGTGCTCAGTTGGTCGGTGAGTGTGAGTTTGTCGGGCGGCCGCAGTTCGGGCAGCAGCTGCTCACTCAGCTCCAGCAGGCCGGCCAGCTGCCGCTGTCGGCTGTCAAAGTCCTCCTGCAGCGCCGCCATCTGGGGGCGGACGAACCGGAGAGGGGATCAGGGGCCGTGACAGAGACCGGTGGGAGCAAACAGCTAGGTGCGACCGCTCCCCCCTTAAAAATAATCGCGCAATACAGTCTGGTATCGGCCGCTAGTGCCGACTCTGCAGTCCGACGTCTGTGTGTAAACCGTCTCCGCGAACTGCCGACTCTGCGACCGTCTCTCACCTTATGCACATGTTCGTGCAGCGTGTGCAGGCTGGTGCCGGCCAGCGGCTCCTGTTTGAGCGTCACCCGGGCCGTGTGCAGCCAGTCGCCGCACTGCTCCAGCTCCGACTCCAGCCGGCGGCGCGCCTCGTGCACTCGCAGCAGCTGGTCGCGGCCGGCCTGAGCACGCTCCTGCAGCGCGCCGGCGTCCTCCTGCAGCCGCTGCAGCAGCTCCTGCAGCCGGCCGGCGTCCTGCTGGCTGCAGTCGGCCAGCAGCGGCGCCGCCTGCTGGCGCAGCTCGGGCACCCGCCGGGCAGACACCGACTCCAGCTGCGAGAGCAGCGTCTGGGGACGGACAGCAACGTCCGGCGTTAGTCACTAGCGTGATAGTCGCAACACCCAGCAGCCGGTTTATGCAAATGTCGTTAAAACACGGTGGCTACGACGGTGTCATGTTACTCGCTTTCCGTCTAAACACTCAGCCTCCACTGCGTCGGAAGTCTCCGACACCCTACCATACTTCACACCCTCTCGTGGCAAGCTGTCTTGCACCGTCCAGCGCCGTACTCACGTTTCTCTGGTCGATGAGCAGCTGCACCTGGGCAGCCGGCAGCGGCAGCTGTTCGGGCAGCTGCAGCTGCTCGGTAGCGTCTGTCAGCTGCTGCCGCAGCTCCGAGCACGCCTTCTGGAGTCGCTCTCGGTCGGCGCGGGCGCGGCGCAGCGCGGCCGTCTGGGTCTCCAGCGCGGCACTCAGCTCCTTCACGGCACCCTGGGAACAGCCGATCAGTCAGTGGAAACAACTTCACAGACATAAATGTTCGTCACCGTTACTAAGGCTGGCTTAATGATTGTTACTGGCGAAAGTTCGTCGAAATCACATTTTTGTTGCTAGCGGGTTTATTGAAAAAGCATATTAATCGACATCACCAATGAACACGACGACCGTCGTCGGCGGGTGACATGTGGCACGGTCCTCAGTACCTCCATCTGCTGCAGGTTGGTTGCCAGCTGCTCCCTCTCCTGCGCCGAGATGTTGGGCGCCAGGCTCGAGATGGCCTTAGCGAACTGCGGCAACATCGACCGCTTCGAATTGGTCTCCGACTCCAGCGACTGAAAAAGAACAGATCAGCTGATACAAGACCTCCCTGTACCGAACCAGAGCAGAACAGGTACAGAAACAGATGTTGAAAAGAGCTTGGAAACGTCGGCTACTAAATTTCGCTAAAGTTGTGCGAGACAGAGACGCACAAAACTATCAGGTAACATTGAAGAACATCACGCTTAAATAGGTTAACAAACTCGCTCAAAAATACATTCACAGCAAAATCGAAATCGGCCGCCGAAATCCCAACGCTTTCTCCGCCGGCAGCGCACCTGAATCTGGTTGATCCTGTCCGTGACGACCTCGGGCGTGTAGCCGATGGGCGTGGCCAGGCCGGCGGCGGTGCGCTGCGCGTTGGCGGTCCACTCTGCCAGCTGCCGGAGCTGGTCCAGCAGCCGGTCAGCCTGCTCGGCGGCGGAGCGTACAGACTCGGTCCGCTGCTCCAGCCGGCGGCACAGCTCCTCGTAACTGCGCTGCGTGGACAGCACCTGTGGGGGAGACGGATGGGTCGGTCAATGGTCAGTTGTGGTCGCGGCGGGCGGTGGGGGAAGGAAATTTGACGGAAGAACGGATTTAAATTGACTGGATGACAGAAATCTGGTACATAGCATCACATCATATCCAGTTTCGCAGGTGTGACATAACGAGCTTTTGTCTAATTCCTGACTTATTTTGCGAACAAACACTAGCTGCCAAGCTCCCCTGCCTCCCCTAAAGGCTACTTGTTTGAATATGCCCACCTTGGATTCAGGCAATGACTTCCAAACTCCGTCATACTCAGTAGGGAAACACACCACCCGTCCCACCACCCTCCCAGTCCCATCCACTGACCTGGCTGGTGACGTGCTGCGCCTCGGGCTCAGTGAGCCGCTCCCTGGCCGCCTCTGCCAGCTGCTCCAGCTGCTGTAGCTGCTGCCGCTGATCGTCACACTCGCGGCGCAGCTCGGCCAGCGAGCGGAGACGGCCGTCCGCCGGCGACGACTGACTGTCCACCGCCTGAAACGGGGCAGACGGTAATGATGAGGACGTCGGTGACGGTGACAGCGACAGTGACAGTGAGGGTGAGCGTCGCACTGATGGTGACGGTATTGGTAGCGCGGGAGTTTATGTCAGTAGAAGTACAGCATGGTTCAACAAAGCCCCCGCTGGACAAAGACAAATAGACAAACCCTCTATATTCTAACATTCAGACCGACAGTGAGGCAATGCCCTGATATTCTGCCCTGCTTTGCCAAATAACTTGAGCCAAATTAAATCAAGGTATCAAAAACGCAGGCGCTATCGCACCATCAGCAATCTCACGAACGATTCGCGACTGTTAGAGCTCCTAGTGATGTTCCATAGCTCTTCGATGCCGCGTCCGTACCTGCAGCGAGTCGGACGTCTGGCGGTGCCACTGACGGAAGTTCTGCAGAGCCGTCGTGTACTCCTCCACACAGCTCTGAGCAGTGGTGCGAGCGTTCAGCACCTCAGCCACCTGAGGTGAGATGGGGTGAATTAAACTGAGTAAGGGTAAATCAGGTGAGACGCTCACAGCTGATGAGGTCCGCTGAATATCAGTCAGTGGACGACATAACAAGGGATCAGTTGTAGACCTCCAGGCTCCAATGCTCGATTTAAAGGGCCGCTACGATAAAAATAATCATTTTATCTCTCCAACAACTCATTTAATCAACACTTGTAAAACGCAAAGACAAAGACGCGGTCGCCGTCTCTTCAAACGGGCGTCAACTAGGTCTCAAGTATGTCTTCCCTCCCCCTCCCTGGTTTCCCTGCCCGTACCTGTTCGGCCAGGCGCGCCAGCTCCTGTCGGGCCGACTCAGTCGGTACCTCAGCGGCCAGTTCCATCCGGCCAGAGTCCAGTTCGTCCAGCGACGCCTCGCGCTCGAGCAGGGTGCGCTGCAGCTCGCGCAGCCGCTCCAGCTCGGCGGCGGCCGGCTCGGGCTGCAGACGGGCCCGCTGCCGGCCCAGCTCGGCCACCAGACGCGCCTGCTGCTCGGCCCAGCGGCGCACCTCGTCCTCCCGCTCGTCCAGCCGCTGGAGGCCGTCCGCGGTCCGCTGCAACTCGGCCAGCCGAGACTGGGCCTGGTCAATGAGCAGCTCCAGCTGACAGCGCACCTGAAGAACAGAGACAGACGATTGTCACTGCCCCGAGCTACATCATTCGCACGCAGGGTAATGAGTACACCGAGACAGCAGTAAAAACTTGGTCACGGATGGTGGTCATAACGCAGCTGCACTCAACATTAAAAAGTGATAGACGTGTTAGGCCAGCAAGAAGTCAGTAAATCTTAACCACGCCCTCACGGCCCCGTTATTCACTAAAAGCTCCCTAGTCCCTTCAACCGTCACCACACAGCCAGCGAGTGCCAGAGACAGATAAGCAATTATTACCGATCGACGATAAAGAGGTGCATTTTTAAACCCCGTTGCTCCTGACACTGGCACATATTTCCCTCTACCTCTCAGTCACTCACCTGCAGCTCCCGCTCTGGCACCGTGTCGGGCGGCTGGTCGTGCGGCGAGGAAGGACGGCTGATGGAGGCCGTGGCCGCCTCACAGATCTGCACGGCCGTGTCCAGGCGAGACTTCTCCGACTGCAGCTCGTTATGCAGACTCTGAAATATCCCCGGAGAGGTTATGTCACCGGAGTCCGGACGCCGACAGGAATGAAAACGTTTGCATATTATCCCGTGTAGACACAAAGACAATAAGGCAAAGATCATGAGCACCAGATATCGTGTCTGTATAGTGAACATATATCAATCACAAGACCACTCCACATGATCCCAGTGTGACCCCGGGGGCCTGTGCGCCCCGCCGACTGACCCTGGTGGCCTCCAGCCGCTGTTTGGCCGTCTCCAGGTCGGGGATCGGCTCGGCCACCTCCTGCTCCAGCTGCCGCTGTCGAGCCGACAGGTTCTCCCCAATGCTCTCCAGCAGCGCCTCGTACTGCTCAAACTTCTTCAGCGACTCCAGCAGGCGGGTCTGGGTACGCAAAGGACACAAACACGTTACCAAAATGGAAGTTGGAGAAGCAACGTGCATGACTTCAAAGAGAATAACTTTTATCAAATACAAACAAAATATAAACAACGCATTGACATTTCACCTATATAAGCCACCCTACCAAACCTATCCTCAATTATAATCCAACTTTTCCCGACCACCCCAACAGTGCGCCACCCCGTGGAGCGGCTACTGACGTTGATCTGCTGGGCGGTGGCGTGCAGCGAGCTGTAGCTGCTGCGGATATTGTCCAGCTGTTTGTCCACCTCCTGGCGGATGGCCGGGGACACCTCCTCGTACCGTTCCACCTGACTGTGGCCGCGGCGCTCCAGATCGCGGAGCGAGTCCGAGAACGACTCGAACTCGGACATCACCTCCTGTGAGATAGGGGGAGGAGAGTCAGAGTCGGAGAACGACTCGAACTCGGACATCACCTCCTGTGGGACATGAGAGGGACAGTCAGAGACAGAGGAACGACTCGAGCTCGGACATCAACTCATGCGTGTGACCGGGGAGGAGAGAGTCAGAGAGTCGGAGAACAACTAGACCTCAAGGACATGAAAAGAAGCCAGTATTATAACGCGTGCGACGCTAGGCCCCGATACCAGCATCTCCCGGTTCCGTTCTGTTCAGTGCGCAACCCACCTTGTGTCGCTCGATCTGGGCGGCCGTCTGCTCCCGGTTGGAGATGTACTGGGCGTTCTGACCCATCAGCTGATAGGAGATCTGTAGCAGCCACTTCTGCGCCTCGTGCAGGCTACTGTTGTACTCGTTGAACTCCTGGAATATGAGAATGACAACCAGTAAGCGCCAGGGAATTCGTGTACTGTGGATCCGCAATATCGATCTGTCTGGTGAGCAAAGCTCGCCCTATCTCACGCAACCTAATCTAACCTATCCCATGAAACGACAAATCCTACCGAAATCCGGAGTCGTCCCAGCCCCGTATCATCCATTGTACTTACATACCCTCCCAGCCCAGTATCACTCGGTACCGTCACAGCCAGTATCATCACTCGACTGTATCATTCCCCGTCCAGTATCAGCCTCTCACCTCCACCTCCGTCTGCAGTTTGGCCACCAGCTCGCGGCAGCGGCCCTCGGCGGCCTCCCAGCGGGCGCGCACGTCCTGTGCCCTGGCTAGCAGCGCCGGACCGCCGTCCGCCGACGCCACGGGCTCGGTGCCGGCCGACAGCTGAGTGGCCTCCTCCAGAGCAGAGTCCAGGTCCGGGCGGCGGGCCTCCAGGCGCTTCTGAGCATCCTGAGAAATTAAACAGTGGGAAACGTGAGCTTAGCGACCAGGACAAGTGTGGAACACCTCAAGCGGTTCGAATACTTTCTCTATGTAGATAATTACGCTGTCAAAATTGTATATTGGAAGCAACAGCTGTGGTGACATCAACCGCGGCGATACTAAACATTTTTGGCGAATCTCTCAGCTGATAGCAGCTGCAGGACACCACACTGGGAGCGGCCACCCATCCCACGTCCCTAGTCTGCCATTGGCGGCACAGCACTCACCGTCAGTCGTTCCAGCGTGGCCCTCAGATGGGCGAGGTCGGCGGTGGGCTCCGGCGCCGCGTCCAGCCGGGTCGTCAGCTCCTTCAGCCAGGTGTCCAACTGGGAGACCGTGTCCGCCGTCTCCTCCCAGCGCTGCAGCCGCGACTTTACCTCCGAGCTCACCTGGGTGGCGGGGAGACAGACACGTGTGGAAGTGAAAGGAGGAGACGGGCCGTGAAATGCCTCACTCCACCATTGTCCATAGTCGACAGACCGCCACAACACCCGAAAGTTGATTACACTGTTTTCAGATTACCCATACGCCGGCCTTAATCGAGCTTCGTCCATCTATAATTATATGCCACCAGTTACCATCCATCCCACTGTGGTCTGTTGTAGAGACAGCTGCGTCTCTGTATCATATCTGTATCACAGTTCCCGCTGTGTACCGGCCCAAGTCGCGCTGTGACTGTCCGACGTGACACTGTCCGGTCTCCCACCCCGCTGTGCCCCAGCTCAAATCCGCCGTCTTCAGTCGACCCACCTGTTGCAGTTCGATGGCCAGCTGGTCGTACTCTGCCCTGAGCCGAGTCAGGTCCTCTGTCAGCTCCTGCTGGGCCTCGGCCGGTCGGCTCTCGGCCGCCGCTGTGTAGGAAGTCTGCAGCGCCCCCAGCAGGTGCTGCCCCTCCGTCATACGGGTCGACACCAGCTGTGCAGACAGGGAACAGTCAGACAATGATCAGTTCTTCCGACCTACGGTTCAATCCCAGCTACACAGAGAGGATACGGGCATCTTTACTCTTCCTAGGTCTGGTCAGAAGAGTCTCAGCGGCATTTTATTTGGGCATTCACAAGAACGGTAGAGAAGACGAGCAAAAGTTACGAACTCCACTATCAGCGCCATGAAGCCATAAAGCTTGTCACGACTGCCCCGTGTCCCCAGTTGCGCCCGGTGAGCGCCCGGTGAGCGCAGCGCCCCACTCACGGTGAGCATGTGCAGGTTGTCGGTGAGCTGCGGCGCGGTGAGCTGCAGCTGCCGGCAGTCGGCCACCGTGCCGCGGTTCCGCTCCAGCCAGGTGGCCAGCTCGGCGCGTGCTGCAGTTACCTCTCGCTCCGACTGACAGCGACGCTCCAGCTGGGACAGCGTGGCCTGGCGGCGGACAGGGAGGTATGATGAGAAGGGGAAGAGAGAAAGGGAGATGGTAGAGTTTTTTGGCTGTTGTAATAATGATCCAGCATATTATTCACAACCGGTACTGCCTAGTTTATTTGTGACAGGAAAAAATAAGAAGGGGGATATTTCCAGCTGCATGAGTTGTCTGGCGACGTAAAACGCATTAGGAAGGACTGTGATTGAAGGATAAATGAGACATCTGCATAAACCGACATCGACCCTTGGTGCTTGGATATCAAGTGTTTGATAAGTGCTCATGTCCAGGACCACATGTGTGAACTGTGTAGTGTGTATGCGATTGTCCTTTCCCACCTGAAGCCGACTGAGCAGTGCGGCGTGGTCGGCCTGCAGCTGGACGGCCTGTTCACGGACCTCCGGCTGGCCGCTGAGCTCGATCAGCGTCTCACAGCGGTCGGCCAGTCGGTCCACCGAGCGGCGACGCTCCGACACCTCCGACCACAGCGTCTGGGGGTGATAGGGAGGGAGAGCGGGGGTTATACGATGGTCACACCTGCACCGGCGACAGCATGAGTCACAGCACACCATGAGCAGCAGTCCGAGTGAGACACTGACACATTACAGTCTCAACTATCAAATTTCTTTCAATTGAATGCACAACATTGCCGATACATTTTAAGCTAACTTTCCAATGACTCACGAGCCACGGCTGTAACCGCTCTCCAACCCTCCCTATGTTCATTATACGACGATATACGGAAATTGATGTGCGCCCTACGAATGAACCCTACCACCAGTCACCTTGACGGTCTGCAAGTGCTGGTCGTCGTCCCCGTTGACGGCCGGCGCGGCCGAGGCGGTCTGGGCGGGCGGCTCCCGGTCGCGGGCCTTCTCCAGCCACGAGCGCAGGTCGTCGTGCAGTGCCGTGAACTCGGACCAGGCGGCCACACAGCGGGACAGAGCAGCCTCACTGGAGGCCGCCAGCTTACACAACGAGTCGTACTCGACCTGAGTGAGAAGGGATCGGGTTTAGATAATTATAAGTCAGGATAGTAGCTGACACATATCTTTTACCATGTCCATTCAGTTCCACATTTCTCAATCATGCCCGTCGCACGAGCTGTCGATAGTATCTCGAAACACGCACGCGCACGGGTACATGAATCTTTTGTAGCGAGCCTCTTCCTCTTCCCAAGGAAAATTTCATGCCCGGAGTAAGCCCTCCTCCTAAGTCCATCTCTCCCCTCCCTGACTGACCTGCAGTGCCTCAGCCTCCCTGGCCAGGGACTGGTGACCGCCGGCCGGACAGACCTCCTGCAGCGCCTCGCCCTGGCTGACCACATCGTCCAACAGCGACTTGCCTGGAAACGGTCAGAAAACACGTTACTAAGGTTAGAGCGAAGGCACCGGACCAGACTGCCGCATCCGATTCATGTGACTGATCACACAGCGTTCACACTGCATTTACTACTTGGCGGAAGCGAGCTCTATCCTGGCATGTAAACGTCGAGACAGAATTGGCCAATTGTCTTGCTTCGGCAGTCATTTATGTATGCGACGTTGGCCCACCTTCGGGTAGTGGATCGGTCGGTGACTGACCTTTGGGCAGTGTGTCTGTGAGTGTCCTGTTGGCCTCCAGCCGGGCGTTGAGCTCGTCCCAGGCGCCGGTGGCGTCCGACGCCTGCTGCAGACCCAGCCGGGCCGCCTTCAGCCAGTCGGCGGCAGCAGTGTGAGCCGCCGCGTACCGCTCGTGCTGAGCGGCCCGCTCCTCCAGCACCTGGCGGGAAGCGCGGAGAGTCAGCGACCAACTACCTCAGTTACCTGATACCTCACCGTAGAACTGCATCAGTCAAACAGCTGTGGGCTGCCTGACTTTCTCAGACAAACAAATCTACGCGGACACCTTCCGGTCAGCCAATACTTAACTGTTACAACTGCCAATCCACGTTTTGTACGTCCCGAAGCTTAACCTTAGCATCTACGACTCAATTCACATGTAAGAGCAGATCCCTGCCCTGGTGTGCCGGCGCGTCTGACAGACAAGCGACCCACACCCGCCGTACCTTGATGGCGTCGTCCACCTTGGCAGCGGTGAGCCGGTGTCTCTCCAGCGTCTGTACAATCTCTGGCAGCGCCTTCTCGCCCTCAGCAGCGTCGGCCGTCGTGCGCAGCTGGCTCACTTGGTTTGACAGAGACTGGACTTCGGTCGCAAGGGCTCGGTACCTGAACCGGACAGAAAGAATCCCATCGTTACTTCCTGTTTTTAAACTTCCTTAGACCGTAGCATAAGCCTTCTGTAGAAAACTGAGCGAATGGAAAGGAAGCCAAGGAGGGAATAAGCGCGACAATGGAATTAAATTTCATTCGCAGCTATTCGCGATCGGCCGACTCACTTTTCCAGCGCTGTTTTCTTCTCGTTGAGTTCGGAGAACAGCAGGTCTCCGTCGCCTTGGATCTTGGCGTCGATGTCATCCAGGGCCTCAGTCAGCGTTTGGTTGGCCTGAAAACACATAAATTATTATCAACACATCACTTCAGTGACATTCAAACGATAATTATGCTGTTATGGCTAAACGACTTTACAGTATACACTGCAGTCAGCTGGTTCACGATGCCAATCACCATTGAGCATGATATCACCAAGCTCACCTTGAATATCTCGTCGAGCTCGCCGATTTTGGCGGTGAGCTCGTTCTTTCGTTCCATGATGTCGGCGATGAGTTTGTCGAACTCTGCGCTCAGGGTGTCGGCGTCCTGTTCTATCCGGGTACCCCCGCCCTCTGCCGTGTTCATGATGACTCGCTCCTTCAGCTCCATGGCATACCTGACGGGTCGGGAGGGAAGACTCAGCAATGGGGTGTAGGGAATGCGAAAAAGTGGGTGAATGGGTGAGAGCGAAAGGGTGAAGGAAACGCAAGCTGCAGCATTCGCAGGTAAAGTCTACGTTCCAGAACTAGGCAGGGAACTTAGGCAAATGCGTACCGCTTCCTAACCAGGTCTGAAATACAAATAATTACGGTATTACCAGACTAGAAGAGTATCAGAGAAAAGACATGGTCCGTAGCAGTTATCACTCCTGTCTCCCCACTCGACCCAGCCGCCCGATTCTCACCTGAGTTTCTTCTGTCCCTGTTCGACGGAGGCCCGCAGGCTCTGCACCGTGTGCAGTTTGGTGAGCAGCTCAGAGTGGCGACTGGTCAGCGGCGCCGTCTCGGCCAGCTTCTCTCGCGTCTTCTCCATCCATTCGTCGATCTCGTGACAGAGCGCCGAGTGCTGCTTGTGCTCCTGTGAAATATCAGAGAGGAAAGGGGATTGGTGACAACCAGAAATCAGAAAGGATGTGTGCTCGTTAGGGTTGACAATTAAAATCATCATTCAAAAATACGTGACCAGCGCAGTCATGCTCCCATGACTCCAAGTCCCAGTGTCAAATGAGTTTTATGGCAACAACCAGTAATTTTGAGAACAATGTTTCGCGCTCATTGCTATAAAAAACTTTTAATTAGCAAAATAAAAGTAAAGATGAGTAGTTATCTTCCCCACTGTCCCCAGCACAATAAAGCGTTTCTCACCAGATGGGCGACCTCGAGTCGTCGGAACACGTCTTTGGCCAGTGACTGTAGAGCGTTGTACTTGGTGGTGAGCTGGGTGACCGAGTTGGCGATGCGCGAGTCGGCACAGTTATCCAGCAGCAGCGTGGCCGACACGTTCAGCTCGTCCAGCGTCGACTGCCATTCGTACATGTCCGACAGCAGAGTCTGGAAGCGCATAATTTTAGTAGGTTGGACAAACAGCAGCGTACCCAGTTCACAGTCAGCAAAAGGACGGGAGGGAGCATCACGGAGCGAAATTTTATGGAAAGGAATAAAGCTCGACAGGCCCCGCTAATCAGGAAAACTGTCGTCCTAATGATCTGATAGCTAAACCCCGTGTCTTCTAAGGCAAAATATTTTACGAAGAAATTGGTCCAAAGCACCGACCTTCCGCCCTCTCAGCGTGAGGCCTGAAGCAGTCAGACCCTCTCCACCCCTGGTACCGACCTGGAACGCCTCGACGGCGGTCTGTTTCTCCTGCAGTCCGGCGTGCAGTCCGCCGTAGGTCTGCACCTCCGACTCCTTGTCGCTGATCCACGCCTGGCACTGTTTGAGACGCTCCTCGTACTTGGTCCATTTGACCACGCCCGACTCGAGCAGTTCCCGAGTGGCGGCCACCGACTCCCTAACGGCGCGCGAGAGAGACCGGCGGGTTAGACTGAGAGACGGCCGACACTCAACACACCGCACGGTAGGCCCCAAGCATCGCTCAAGCAGCCAACTTACTAGACTGACTGATTAATGCCAAGTCATGGATGTTCTTGGAGTTAACATTTAGTTTTATTTGTTCGCCTTGAGTCTGCTATATCTACCTTGCTCACTCTGCCTGCCGGCCGACCCGCCCAACCGTCGCCCTGCCACTCATGTTGGCTCACCTGTAATCGTCCATCTGCGCCTGCAGTTTGGCCACCTGCTCCTCGATCACCTCCCGGTCGTCCTCGTCCTCAGCCACCTGCAGCGCCGCCTTGGCGAGCTCCAGGGCCGAGTCGAGCAGCGACTGGCCCTCGGAGACATCCGCCTCTAGCAGCTGAAAAAGTTACACAGGTCAGAGCAGCCCCAGAGCACGTAAGCGCCCGGGCAAATTCGAGCAGGGACTGGCCCTCGGAGACGTCCGCTTCCAATAACTGAGCAAAGAGCAAACAGATAGCAAACAATGCTCCGGGGCCGAGTCGAGCAGGGACTGACCCTCCGAGGCGTCCGCTTCCAGTAACTGAACACACAAACACAGTAAAGTTGATAAACACTGCAGCTCACACACAAACACTGCAGCAGCTGCTGTTGCTCCAGAACCCTCGAGACCTTATCTTTGCATCTCAGAGAAGTGCGAGATAGAAATATCCCTGCACTGTAAGTGTAGACCCAATGGCAAATAAACCTCAGCTAGAAAGATAACTAAGGAGTCAGAGAACTCAAAGCTCAGTACACCACTGCAGACCCTACTCGCCATCACCTGTTTTCCACAAACGACGGCTCCCCTGACACACATCACTCTTTCAAGCTTCCCTACCTTCTTCCCTCCGCCTGTCTCGTCCCGCCCTTTCGTACCTTGAGCGCGGTCATGCGGCTGGCCAGGGCGTCCCTGTGTCCGGTGGGCTCCGCACACTTGGCACGTCTTTCCCGGGCCGTCTGCAGCCACGTGATGAACTCCCCAGCGGCGTCGATGAAGGCGCCGTGCTGTTCGACCAGCTGCTTCTGTCGCTCGTAGGCCTGGCGCGCCTGCCGGCTCAGCGTCTCGTACTTGTCGCTGATCTCGGAGGCGTGCCTGCGCCGGCCGCGCGCACCCTCAGAGCTCGATGTCACGGACGCGATCATCGGCTGGAACGAGACGATGTCCTGCCGGGGACGAGCGGGAAGGAGTCAGCACAACCACACATGCATCGGAAGAATTGTGGAGTATGTAGTATGACATGACACTTAAATGGTCTCCTAAGCAGAGCGGATAAAAATAGATGAGAAAATATCGCATCTAAGAATACCATTGTCATCAGAGCTGGTGTTCAGATCTCTTTTCAGCATTTCTACGCCAGCAACAGTTACCGTTGACCGACCTGCATGATGCTGTTGGTGCGTCTCAGTGCGGCCTTCTTCTCGCCCAGACTGGCCAGCTGATCCTTATTGGCCGACGGCCGCTGGCGGGGTTTGTGTTCGAGCACCTGCTGCAACCGCGCCTCCCGGTCCGATATCCAGCGCTGCAGTCGCGTGTAGGTGGAGCCGGCGTCCGACCACTGCAGCAGACTGGTCTCCAGCTGGGCCTGTAAGAGGAGGAGGGAATAAGGGGGCGGCCGTCAGTGACATGCAAACGGGAAGCGATCTATGGACAGAGCGGGGCGAGGACGAGCGACACATGTCTACAGACACAGGCAAATAAGTTCAGACAGTGGTCGACTTTAACGGCCGATAAGAGCTGATGCGTTGACCCATGAGCCACGTCATATGGTAATTACGTCAAGTGAATCCTTCCTTTGACAGTAGGAGTTATCACCACGAATGTCACTGCTCCGTATCTCAGACATTGTCTTAGCAAGCCGTGCTGGCACTGCTGTGAGTTAACCACTCGTTTACCTTGGCGTTGGTGAGTTTCTTGATGAACCTGTCCCAGTCGTTCTGTATGTCCTTCATGGCCTGTTTGACGTCCTCCCGACCAGACGAGTGTGTGTTCCTGAGCACCTTTTCGCCCAGGCTGGCGGCCTGGTGTACCAGCGTTTGACCTTCGTCCTGGTTACGAATCAGCTCCTGAAAACAGACCGGCATGATAACATCGACTCTACAAGTTTTAGAACTTAGAAAATTTGAAGCTCCGATATTTATGTCGAAGTTTAAAAATGCCAAGTGTGAGGGAAAAGTGGTTACGAGCGAGCGAGCGCAGCGAGCGAAGCGAGTCTTTTCAATATAACGGAAAAATCTCAGTATGAGCGGCCCGGCCCGGCCCGGCCTGTAACGCTTTTGAGGGGCTTATATCTCAGCAACCGCTGGACCGATTGGCCTGCGGTCTTTTTTGCTGGGTAGCCCCATTCCTTCTACCCCGTAATAGACTACTTTTGATACATCTCAGTGACCGTCATGACACGTGCCACGTGAAAAGTCAAGGGTGTTCAAGCTGTTTTGCAAAAGTAGTGATTTTGAGAGGCTCATATCTCAGCAGCCGCTTGAGCGATTGACTTGCGGTAATTTTTGTAGGGTAGCAGCATCCCTTCTACCAAAAATGGGATACTCTCGATGCATGTGGGTCACCCCCAGTGCACGTGCTAAATACAACAATAAGAGGTGTCAAATTTGTTCCCATTTTAATAACTCGGTAACTACTGGGGCGATTTCGCTGAAACTTGGCATACAGGTAGGCACCCACCAGCCAATGCATTCCCATGTGTTGCGGTTAAGGTGCTACTGCACGTGCGCACGTGCAGGGGGCGCCTCCAGATCTCGAGAACGGCTGGGCCGATTGCGCTCAAATTTGGTACACGGTTGGGGACCAGTTAGTAGGGTGCCGTGCAAAAGTCAGTTTGGACCCCGTTTGCATGTGCGCACGTGCAGAATGCCGCTTCCAGATCTCAGGAACGGCTGGGCCGATTGCATTCAATTTTGGCACACCGCTAGCGACCGGTTAGAAAGGTGCTTTGCGCAAGCCCGTTGAAAGCACCCTCTCGCCCTTCCGCACGTGCAGGGCTCACTATCTCGCTCGCTCGTTCTTCGCCCAAAAGGCGTTTTACTGGTTATTATGGAGCAGTTTCAGAGCAGACATTACTAGCTTCTTTATGGCAATGTTTGACACGAAACTCAAATTTATCATTTCCTTCGCTACCACCCTTCAGCGCCGTGCCATGCCCCTCCGCCACCCACCTGAATGGCCTTGAGGTGCTGTTCGACGCCCTGCCGTCCCGAGTCGGGCTCGCCGTCGGAGCCGGAGCCGGAGCCGGAGCCGGAGCGGCCGCGGATCACCTCTCGAGCCTCCTCCATCCAGTCAGCGGCGCGGCGCAGCGCGCCCTCAAACTCCGAGTGCTGGTCGGCGATCGCCACCAGCTTCCGCTCCACGTCACGCGCCAGGTTCACTTGCACCTGAGAAGCAGAAAGACAAGGAAGGAGTGAGACGAGCCCCAGTTTTGCTTGTAACGGTGGAAAACCCGTTGGGAGGAGAGAAGGGCTAGAAGGGCATCAGGTTCACTCGCACTTGGGAAAGGATAGAGTAGAGACTTAGATGGGACACCCTGGGTAGGGCTATCTGCACATGGAGGGCATGGAGAGGCATCAGACGGAAGAACATAGAAGAGATTCATTTGCACCGTTAGGTAAGCAAAATGTTAGGTAAGTAGGCAGTCCATCCCAGTCCCGCTACCGTCCCGCACCTGGTGTCTGGAGGCCAGGTGTCGCAGCTGCTGGCTGATGTAGCCCTCCAGGTGGGAGGCCAGCAGGCCAGACGCCGTGGACTGCAGCCGACTGATGTCTTCACCACCCGACTCCAGACTGCGACACACGTCCTGGCGAGCGACGGGCGACGTGAGAATTCATGGGAGCACACTGAACACCCAATCAACGACCCCATCGCTGGAAAATGTCGAAACAGAGGACAAACAATATTTGTAATGACGATTTCCCACTAACTCAACGGCAATGTTCACATCCAAGCCTTCCATTTCCATCCCACCTCATTCTCATTATCACCTGAATTTTCTCGACGAGCTGTTGTTTCTCTTCGCGCGTGGCCACGAACACGGTCTTGTGCTGTTTGACCTGGACGTCGGCGGCCTGGAGCCAGTCCGAGATACGCTCGTACTCCTCCTTGTACGACTTCAGCTGGCTCTCGATCGTCTCCAGGTTACGCTTCTGCTGACGGATGTCTGCGGGAGAAGATGGCGGAGTTTGAGAGATGCTATACACAATAATGTTGGCAAAGGCGTATAGGAGGGTAAAGTGGGTGAGAATTTTCACTGACGAGCGTCTGCAGGGGTGATGAACGGTGACCTAGGCAAGTTATAATCAAGAAAAGTCTTGAAGAATACGTCAAATAAAACTGATCAGTTGATAGAATCAAACTACTGACGCCAGTAACCATTATGCACACACCGAGCCCTTCGCAAATGCACGCACCGTTGAAGAACTCCTCGAACTGGCTCTGCGCGTTGGCCACGTCCTGTCTGATCTCCTTCTGTCCGAGCTCGGAGGTGGAGGCCATCATGACGTCACCCGTGTGCACCAGGTGTTCCAGGGTCAGCTGGCCGGCCGACTGCTTACACAGGATACCCTGTGCACAGACAGGAATGGTCAGAATGTTTCACTGGACACAGACAGCCGAGTCTCAGATCACTGCTTACACAGGGAACGGTATTTCTTTAGGCTACATGAGAACGACTTTAATTTCATGTGAAGAAACAACTCAAACGGTAACACAGGCTTCACAAATTACTATGGGACGAAGAGAACGGCCACAAAAAGAAATGAAAAAGAGCGAGCCGGAAGCAAGAACACTTCAACCGGTCTCTGTCACGTCTCAGTTCTTATCCTAGATTCTGAGCATTGGACTCCCCATTCCTGCAGTTGTTTTACCAGCCCATCCCACCGTCTTTCACTCACATCCAGCGCAGCCACGACGCCCTCGATGGCCGATCGGTCTCCGAACGAGCGCTGTCGAACGGCCGGCACCTTCTCCCGCACTGTCGACATCCACGCCTGGAACTCGTCGAACGCCTGCTTCCAGCTACGGTGGTGCTTGTACTGCTCCTCCCGCTCACGGCGCAACAGCTGACGGAGGGGAAAACAACGGCGGGAGCTCGTTAGAGGAAGGGGACGGGCAGTCACACACCAGCTGCAGGGACACGGGGACAGGGCGAGCACCAAGTTGGGGACGTAAGGCATCATCAAGGGACTGCTGCGGGATGGGCTTAGCACGGCATTCAGAACTTCAGCAGGCTACCAGAAACTTCCAGCTCCCGACGTTTACTTCAGTTCATAATGTTGATATTCATCGGATAAACTGTATCGATTCGTGATCTTAACCTCATGTAAGATTTTAACAGTTTGAGATAGTTGCAAAGAACAGCATGGCGAGTTATCCCCAGCCAGTCACTGAAACCGTCCCTCATGGTCCCCCGATCCGTACCCGTATCCTGTCGGCCGTCTGGTCGTACTGGTTGAGGATCTGCTGCGCCTGAGCGGCCGCCTGCGCCTGGTTACCGGAGGCCGACATCTCGGCCGCCTTGCTCTTCAGACTGTCTACCTCGTACTTTTCACAGCGCAGACTCTCCTCCAGCGACTGAGGACGACACGGACGCAGGATGACGTCAGCGGGGCATCGAGACACGCTTTCACGTTTACGACATGAAAAATGCAATTGGCGGCAATGCTAGAATAATGCAAGACCAACGAGATGGAAATAAGAACAAAACTTGACTGAAAACAAATCGGTAAGCCAAACGTTTGGATTACATTCGACATACATAGACTTCTTATGGGTGTGTGTAAGGGGGAGGGGGTATGTATCTTTTTGTCGCATGACGATGCTGAAAACATCCTTTACGCACATTCTATCGTCATGCAAAATATAAAAGTATACGCAACAAAGCATGGTGCGTTTACTGTCGGTGCCTCTAGACTCAGCAGCCATGGTCAGTACGTGCGTTCTCCCGTCCGCCCTGAGCCCTCCCACCTTGAGTCTGTCCAGCTGTGCGCGTTTCTCTGCCATAGTGGTCTGGAACTGCGCTGCCTCCTGGAGCACCGCGCCCGTGGCGTCCGAGGAACGCTTCAGGCGCTGGATCTCCTCCAGAAATCCGGCCCAGCGGTGGATCGCCTCGTCCAGGTTACTCTGGAAACGGGTGGGTTATACTCGGTCATGGACGGATCGCGATTACACACTGGGTGAAGTGTAATTGTGTGTGTTGTGTATCCCTTGACCAGTTACATCAAGGTTGAGATTGAATTGCAACACATGATCTATCTGTGCCGACCGCTAGCCATTGCGGGCTCGTATGATTTCCCGAACAGTAGACCGAACTCGCCGAAAGATTCGCATGGAATAACAACTCCCTCTCCTACAGACAACAAGGTTTTATTATCACTGTCCTCGCAACCTTGAGCACACACAGCCTTGGACAGCCAGTCACAATATCTCTCCACGACAGCGCATACCTTGGTCTCGGCCATCTGGGTGGCCATGGATCCCCAGCTCTCCTGGAGGGCCGTCAGCTGCTCGCTGATGGCCTGGTGGCCGGTCGGCTCCGTGTTACGCAGCACCTGGTGACCCAGGTCGACGGCTGCGTGCACACGCTTGAAGCCCTCGTCCTTGTACAGCAGCAGGTCCTGAGGCGAGGGAGACAGGGGAATGAGAAGTGCGCCGGCTAACATGCGATCCAATTAGCACAGCGTCTAATAGGTGATTTGACGTCTCGGCCAGCATCAGTTTATCCCTACACGTACACAGTATAGGAAGGAAAACTGACTTGAATGCAGTTATTGAGCAGCAATTTGGATCCCAGTCTTACCTTGACGGTGGCCAGTTTGGCCTCGAGCTCCTTCTGCGATGTGGCCGACAGGTCGGAGCAGTAGGCCAGCTTGGACTGGACGTCTTTGAGCCAGACGGAGGTCTCACTGAGTTGGCGGCTGTAGTCGCTGTGACTGGCCACGTACTGCTGCCACGTCGCCACCAGCTCCTGGGGACGGCCGATACACACAGTACAGTCATTTATCTGGCATTCTGTGACAGGCATTTCGGTAGAAAGTCGGGACGGCACCACTCCCATGCTTGATGAGCTGCCACCTACCCCTCACAGTAGCGCCAGAGTTGTGACGTGATCTGACCCCGTCCCTTGTCCAGGAAGCGTGATGACTGATGAGCTGCTCTCTTTGGGCGCTTGCTAGCCTACTAGAGCTGCTGAAGCGCCCCGACAGCACAGCACTCCCGTCATCCTCTTCCCCGTACCCAGCGGCCACTCACCTGCACGGTTTGGGCCACCTGCTGGTACTTGGCGATGATCTGTCCGTGCTGCGACTGCCGTCCGGCCGAGCAGGCCGAGCTCAGCTCCTCGGCTCGGTCCGTCAGCGCGTCAATCTCCAGCTCACGGGCGCGCACCTCACCCTGAATGGCCTGTGGGAGTGGCGGATAAAGGACGGATAGAGTACAGAGAGGACACTGTTTATGGAATAAGTAACAATTGCACCCAAACACATTCATGAGCTGAAGACTTAATGTCAGTTAACCGGCAGTTATGCCGGCGATAAGGATTCGTCGTAATAAACAGCGAGACGACTGTCAGCGACGCAATCAGCGGTTACGGCCTTACGGCCACACGGCGCGCGTCAGTCCGTCTCACCTGCAGCTCCTCGAGCTGGTCCTTCTTCTGCTGCAGCGTGTCCTTGAGGTTGACGGCGTGCAGCTTCATGTCCGTCTCCTTGAGCCAGGCGGCCCACTGGTCCTTCATCTGCTCAAACCGACTCCACTGGTCCAGCACCCGCTGCAGACCGTTAATGGCCGCCCTGTAAGTACAGGTAGTCGCCACACATCATATCAGCACCAGCGGGAGCACTCCCACTGCAGGGATAAGCACGACCCGCGCACTCCGCAGTCCGCAGCCACAGGTCAAGGAATGAGAGTACGGCGTTTGGTGAGCGCAATAGTCGAAACACGAGCATGGGTGGTTGTTTTTGTTTCCGAAATACACAAGGCGGCTCGATACGTTTGCAGATTGATTGAGTTGGCTGGGAGCCAGCGGTGTGATGCAGGCCCGGCATAATAAAGCACACAACTGCGACGGCAGTTTGGATCGACGGGCACGTTGGTCGTTTCGTTTGTCCCAGCTCAATATGAACAACAGGGGGGGGGGGGCGGAGTGACTTACGCGCAACATTATTAAAAGTCGTCATTCATGTCCCAAAACTGGCTAATCTGGCTAAACTGGTAGCCCACGAAAGGGAAAACGCACTGATGAGACACAACGGCCAGGTCGACTTAAAACATTGAACAATTACTACATGTAACTAAGTTACAGCTGTCAATATCTGCTGAACCATTCAGCTGTTGATTGGACATAAAATACACATATCTGTTTAGTTTGCTATCTAGGGTCATTACAACATCGATCCTACCAAAGAGGCATGTGATGTAAAAATGTTCGCATGTATTAACAACGAAAAGTGTACCGAGCGACCAGTATTATCACTGCCACAGCCAAGTCACAACCATTATATTTGAAAGTCGAAACAGGGTAACACATGTCAACAGACCCACCACGCTCATAAAAAACAACCGTCACCAAAAGTCAGAAATACGATCTCGCCAAAAATACACAATCTCGGAGTAAATCCAGGGATGAGTGTCCACCTGATGTGTGGTAAAATGTGTGGAAATGTACGGTAAATGTGACAAGTTCCCGTGCCTTCCGAGCGAGAAAACATATAGTGGCGGTGTCCCGCTGTGCCACGCGATAATACAGCCGGGGTCATCCCGGTAGGGTGGAGAGACAGGCCCGCTAGCTACCGCTCGACCAGCCGCGCGCCGCGTCACCGAGTGCTGTTAATAAAGCCACAGATAGTACGAGAGAACTTACTCCAGGCCGCGGCCTCCCCTAGAACAGAGCCGGCGGGGCGGGTTATTCGGTCGGTCCAAAGACCGGAGTTAACCTCCCACTAGCACAATCCATCACAGCTGCTGAGCTCAGAACACTAGGCTTTGGCGTTCAGAAAATTAGTTGGATCTGCAGCTGTTTGCAGTATCTATTTGTTTTATGTTTTATGAGTATTTCACGGTGAGATCCAAATAAAAATGCTCCGAAGACGCGTCCGAAAACTGAGAGGCGACGTCGTTGTGTGTGGTGAGGGGAGTGTTGACGCTGACTTCTTCTCCGTTGTGGGCGATTCTGAGCAGTGCAATCACCAAGGTGTATCGCGGCTGATGGTATGACGAATGTCAATACAATCACAAATTCGAATGAGCCCTGCCTCCCGCAACCCCTCCCCACCCTAATCGAGACCCCTCCCTCCTCCTCTCCCCCGGTGCCTCTCTACTCACTCTGCCGACGAGCTGAGCGCCTGCCACTCCTGTTCGGTGCTCTCCAGCTGCGCCCGTACGTTCTGCTGGCCCTGGGCGCTCGTGTTGGGGATCACCTTCTCACCGAGGGTCTGTACCAGGGTGACGCGGCCCGCCTCCTCCAGCAGACCGGCCTTCAGTTGCTGCTCGCACAAATGGGGACGGAACACGGCGGTCAGAACACACGATATAGGTAATACTGCCCGGTCAGCTCACAGTGGGAGACGACTGGTCACCGAGGACAGGGCGCAGATGCGCATGGAAGGAGTTGAGCGATGATTAACGCACCAAAGCGTGGCAATCATTCCGTCAATCATACCGACCACAATACAGAATCAGTCAGCGATTTAATCAAGACAGATTGTCCGCCAGATACATAGATCAAGACAGATTGCCTTCTCCGTGCTCGTCCCGTCCCAGCCTCCCCCGCCCTCTCCGTCCATCCTTAACGTCTCACCTTCAGTTTGTCGAGGTTGGCGCGGATGGTAACGAGTTCTCCGTGCGCACGGCCCCACATCTCTATAGCCGAGTGTGTGGACTCGAGGAACTCCTGGGCGTCCAGCACGGCCTTGGTGTACTGCTGGTGGTCAGCCACGATCGCCTCGTACCGCTCCACGCGCTCCTGAGACGTGGAGGTCACAAGTCAGAATGAAGATATGGTTGTACTCACAATTACAACTCACGACAGTCATCGCGGCAACACTTATAGAATTTACGATCACCTCACACCGCTACGACTTCGTCAACATGCTCAAACAGCCCTCTCTGTCTGACGTAATCCGCCACCACCACCACCGTGCGTGTCGTACCTGGACGGTCTCCAGCATCTCCTGGTGCTGCTGCGCCAGGCCGTCCAGCAGGCGGGTCACCTCATCAGTACGGTCCGGCAGAGCGCTGGCCTTCTCACGACAGTCGGCGATCGCCTGCAGAAGGGGAAAACGACGGTCGCTTAGTGAGAGTGCGCGACAAAGGCGCTGACATACCAATAGGCCATCAGCAGCTGTACCCTAATTTGGAGCTTGAGAAGCACTTTGTTCACATTTAAGGCTGAAACAGACTCTTTCCGCGTTTAGGAAATCGCATGCGAGAGCCTATTTAAATACATTATAATTCTTCTCGCATCAATCGCTTGCGGGAGGTGCGTGCAATTGATGCGAGCGTGCTTCCTTGTATTTGAATAGGCTCTCGCATGCGATTTCCTGACTGCAGAAAGAGTCTGTTTCATGCTTTAGGCCGGATTCGATGTCTCCCGGACGACTAAGATTCTACATCGTCCGGCCAATGGCGTTCGATGTCGGCGGGGACTGGGCTGCGGTTATCGAACGCCATTGGCTGGACGACGTAGAATCTCCGTCGTCCAAGAAACATTGAATCCGGCTTAATTTTTTGAACTGATTATGAACAAGCCGACGTTAAAAAAAAAAATGCGAGTGGCATTCTAAATAAAAATATGTTGTGGTTGAACTTCTGGTCAGACAAGCTGAAGCCATTCACTGACCTGCTGGTGGGACGCGAGGTCCGTCTCCACTGACCTACTGGTGGGACGCGAGGTCCGTCTCCACTGACCTGCTGATGGGACACGAGGTCGTGCAGCAGAAGCCGGTACGACTGCAGCTGGTGGGATACGATGTCTCTATCCACTGACCTGCTGGTGGGACACGAGGTCGTGCAGCAGCAGCCGGTACGACTGCAGCTGGTGGGATACGATGTCTCTATCCACTGACCTGCTGGTGGGACACGAGGTCGTGCAATAGCAGCCGGTACGATTGCAGCTGGTCACACTTGTCGTCCAGGGTGGCCTTCAGTTCGAGCTCCTGGCTGACTCGGGCGCGCGCCTCGTCCACCCAGCGCCGCAGCTCGGCCGCCGACTCGTCGTAACCCGAGAACCTGGGATACACAGGGACACGGTGACGAACGCCACTGGGGGACGCCGGAGAGTCTGGCGCACGTCGCCAGAGCTAGACGTTTCATAGAGCTGAGAGCATATTCTAGTTCGTGGTGCAGCGGCACCGGCCAAATTAAATTAAATGTTCCTAGAAAAATGTACATATTCACAATCATAAGTTAGTTAATATCCGACTTCGAACCAAAAAGAGGCCAGGAAAACATAATGTGCAACCCAGCCCCACTGTTGGCACAGCGCGGTCGACTCACTTGCTGTCGCTGAGCATCAGCTGTTTCTCGGTGGCCGCCAGCTGGTCGTACAGCGTGTCGTGCGCGGCCTGCAGCTGCTGCAGCTGCCCCTGCAGCAGCTGACGGCCGTCGGGCGCCGTGGCTGCGTACAGCCGCTCGCCCAGCTGACTGACAGCTGCCAGCTGCCGGCTGACGGCCGGCTGTCCGGCCAGCAGCTGCTGTACAGTCTGCAGCGACTGCTTCAGGGTGGAGCGGCGCACGGGAGCCGTCTGCGGGCGGAGAGATGCGCGGTACAACATAGAAGAACGGACGGCTGGTCGGTGAGGTCGATCTGCAGTCGGTGCAAACTGGATGTAATCAGCTGCAGCTGTCGTCTAATTCTCCAGCCCAGCAGATATCTCAGCCTTGATTGTCATAACTACATCTCCCTATGACAGCTGTCTGTCGTCCAAATTGGTCACTGTCGACAGGCACTTTCACACCCACCCGCCATAATTCACTCACCTGCACGGCGGCAAACTGCTCCTGGTAGCCGGAGAACTCGGCCAGAAAGGCGTTGTACTGCTGCACGTAGTCCCTGTGCTGGCTTACTCCCTCCTCGTACCGAGACAGGAGGTCCTGTCGGTCATACGGTGTAGCGTAAAACTACTGGCAAACACAACCTCGCCCATATTAATCGCAAACCCCAATTCCCTCACTGCGTTGGCCATGACTTTAAACACTATCATCTGAAGAAGATCCTGCGTCTCCCAACTCTGATATTGATCGTCCATCATGACATGGTCCTGCTGTCCTAGCCAGTCGCCACTTTGACCGGCTTGCCCATGACCTGTAATGTATCCCCGCTCTGACCTTGGTCATGACCTGGACGTTGTTGGCCCGCGACACGGCCTGCTGTACGATGAACGTCATCCGGTTGTCGCCGCTGCTGCGGCTCAGCTCCTGCACGTCCGCTGCCAGCTTGTCCAGCCGCGCCTCCTGCTGGTGCAGGCCGGCACTGAGCTCGCGGAACCGGCGCAGCTGCTCCTCCTTCTCCTCCAGGGTGTTCTTGTGCGTGTAGTGGTTCTTGAGTGTGGCCTCTGCCTCGTTCAACCAGCCGACCACCGACTCGAGCGCCGCCTCGCAGGCCGACCACTGGCCCAGCCGCGACTGGAACACGACATCGGGGTGTCATACACTGCAGAGAGAATAGCTAAGTACATACGCTGCTAAGAGTAAAGTAGGTAATCTATGAGAAATTACGAATAGCTACCTACAAACATGAAAAGATATTGCCATGTTGATACAGTAAAACAATTTGTGAGGACTCTAAGCACTTTAGTTTTTCAGTCAGAGCGAAACAATTAATGAGATTACGATAATTACTAGCAAATTACTATACGTGTTCAAGTAATGTGGTTCACATCGCTTTCACAATAATCAAGAGGTGACCAGGCGGTCGCTCCCACCCTATCCGCCTCCCACCTGCAGGGCGTGCTGAGCCTCCTGTACGGCGAGCAGCAGCTGGTCGGCGCCGCTCTGGTGCTGCTGCAGCTCCCTCTGCAGAGCCGCCTGCCACTTCTCCGGCAGCAGGGGAGACAGACGCGCCGCCTGGGCCGTCAGCGCCGACAGGGAGGGGGCGCCGTCCGTCAGCTGGCGGCACAGCTCGGCGGCCCGCGCCGCCCGCTGAGACAGCGCCGTGCGGCCGCCGGCCGGGTCTGAGCGAGGGAGGGGAAGGGGCGGTGTCAAACGGTGGACAGCATGGCGGTGTACGCACGGGTCTACTACAGCTCTCGTTGGTGCTAAGCTATTAGACGAATTACCTCGTCTGCGATCTATTCGATTCAACAATATCACCTAATAATTTTCAAGGTCCAATCAGCTCTTCAAGCAGAATAGATGCCTACCTGAGACGGCCTTGATTTGTTCGTCGGTGGTGCGGTGCCAGTCCTGGTGGGCGCGCACCAGCTCCTGGTGCGCCGACAGCTGGTCCAGCAGTGTCTCCAGCCGCTCGCGCTGTCTCCGGCTGTCGGCGGAGGCGGCCTGGAGTCGGGCCGTGGCCGACTGGAGCGCGGCGCGGGCTGGTTCCGGCAGCAGGCCGCAGCGGGGCTCCACGCCGTCCAGCAGGCGCCGGTAGTGCGGCTCGTCCGACTGGGCCGTCTGGGGAGCGGACAGAGGTCAGACGCGAGACGGTACTGCGCGCAGTGACGGGCAGACTGCTAACAATGAACTGGAATGCATTTCGTGAGACATTTCGGGTCTTGCCACCAGCAATTTAAGGAAACACAATACAAGACAAGCGGCATTGAAACATTTAAAATCTCACAACCCTCACCCGTTAAAAAAAAAATACACCCCGCACCAGGATCATCCCCTTCAGTGACAAGGATCCACTCCATCACTAACCTTGATTTTCTGCAGTTTGGCCTTGAGCTCGGCCGCTGCGAGCCAGCTGGTGGGTTCGGCGGCCAGGGTTCGCTCTGTGCCGTCCAGCCAGGAGCACACCTGACTGATAGCCTCTGTGCAGGCCTCCTCGGCCCGGGAGCGAGCGGCCGCCTCCTGAAATACGTCACGATGCGCAAGTCAGCAGCGGTGGGGAGACGGAAGAATGGCAGAGCACGTATCGAGAAAGACAGCAGGGTGAAATTGTGAGAACAAAAACTGAGCTTGGAGATATTTGAGTTTAATGAATTGGAAATATTAATTAAATAGCTGGGATAACCAAGTTTATCAGAAGAAATTAAATTATTCTAGAGAAAAACAGAGAAATAGTCAACAACGACAACGAACAGCTAGACTCGAAAGTCAAAGTAGCCGGCACAATTTTTGCAGCCATAAGCCACAGCGCCCGTTGCGGCCCGCCCGACACACGATCAGAGAGCGAGCTGTGGTATTGTCCCTACCTGTTGGGCGGCCCGGTTGGCCGCCTGCCGCGCCTCCCAGCCCTCCTTGGCTGCCCGCATCTGCTGTCTGACCAGATCCCTGCCGGCCGCCGAGCTGCCAGAGAACAGCCGCTCCCCGAGCGAGCACAGGCTGCTGACTAGGTGCTGGCCTGGAGCGAACAGAAGAGCCTCAAACGGTCAGGGCGGCAGATCGACATAGGGAGCTGGCGCTCAGCAGACTACCTAGGTAATTAGGTTAAAAACACATGATATTGAGCTGATGCAGCTTAAAGTCACAATAATGTCAATAAAACCATCCGTTTTTTCTGACGTAGACAGTCTGAACTGGTCTAACCAGTTCCTCCATGGTCTGGTCCATCTTACCGCGGTCGGCCTGTTCGGTGGCCGGCGTGTCCCGCAGCCAGGCCTCCGTCTCTGCCAGCTTCTCGTCGTAGGCGCGGTGGTCGTCCATCATGTTCTGCCACTTGGTCAGCAGGCTCTGGGATGCCATGTGCAGCTCCTGGTAGCGCGTCGACACCTGCTTCACCTGCCGAAAGTCAAGACAAAAGCGGCTTGATAAAAAGGCATAGTACTCAAACGAAAGTGAATTAATAGAGGTGTTTTAACATAATATAGCGGACACCGAAACTGTTACTGCAGAGTATGAAAACCTGGAGACCTACGATCTCCTTCCGTATCGCTTGGCCTGATTAATCTCAGCAGCAAATGGAAACTTTGGCGACTGTCATTTGTCTATCCAACGAGGTTACGACGCACACCAAGCATTCACGCATCGAACTTTCTAAAGTGCCTTGCCTTCGCAGCTGGTAACGCATCCGCTCCCATACCTGAGTGTTGATTCTCTCCAGTCCTGACAGCTGGGCCAGGTCGTTTCCACAGTCGATAAGTTGGTCAACGTCGGCCTCTCGACCGACGATGGCCTGCCGGGCCGCCTGCAGTCGCTGCAGCACCTCCAGCTGAACAGACGGAGGGGAGACAGTCAGTGAATGGATGAGCAGTGCAATCACGGTCTTCATGTAACTAAATGTAACATCATGCAACGGCCTTCACCCACATGCGCCTACAGCTGCTGGAGTGCTAGCTGTTCAGGCGACCATTAGCTCGACCAAGCAGTACGCTGGTGGGCCATTTCATGCTAATTTCTACAGCCAGCTTGACATTTTTTCCTGATCAAGGTTTCTAGAGCGCGGTAACTCAAGGGCACTGCAGAAAACTATCCAGACATGTCAGTAACTATGTTACCACAGTATCACCTTCTGAATTCGCAGCCAGTTTGACGCCATCGTGACTCCGATCGTCTCACCTTTTCGTCCAGTGTGGCCTTGAGCTGCAGCTGGGAGAAGAGCTGCTCGTGCTCGGCACACCAGGCGGTGAGCTCTCGGTGCCGCCGTTCATACTCTGCCCACTGATCAGCCGCCTCCTGGAGTCGCGTGTCGGCCGCCGCTGGAGGGGCGAGAGGCAGACAGAGGTCAGCACAGGGGCCAGCGTACGGAAATTCCATGTAGGGTCTTTTTTGACCGGACGGCAGCCGGAGATCGGCGTAATCACCAAAGGTCAGGAAAACAGGAAAAGACCTGAAGTAAAGAATAATTTAGGTCAAGTGGCAGTGGTATCTTACATCATCACTGATACTGATCAAGACATACCCGCATAGGACGCACCTTGCACCGACAGCAGACAACTCGACAAAACTACACAACTACTGAGCCTGATCACGGACGTTTTCACCATCCATGCCTCCGCTGTCTACGAGCTTACCGCACTGCTGCTCGAAGGCCTTCCAGTCGTCATCCAGCGCGGTGACGGCCGCCTGGAGCGCCGCGCCGCCCTGCTCCGAGGTGCCCAGTACGGTGTGAACGCAGGCGTCGTGAATTTTCTTCATCTGCCGGCGGCCCTGCGGCAGGCGCGACTGCACCTTCTGCAGAAGGAAAGGGGATATGAATGGTGGGGTCATACATGGGAGTCGGAAGACTATGGGGAACAGGTAGCGAAGCAGGCAGACAGCAAGACTAACAGACAGCAATGGTGTGAGATCGGAGACCAGTCACTAAATAAGGGAAAGTTATAACCCATACATGCGTGGTTTTTATTTCGGATGAGTGGAAACACCATCCGTTACGAAATATAAGGTTACGGGAAGAGCTAACAAGAATGAACCACAAAATGCCATAACGATTTTAGCACCAGTTGTCGTTTGACAGTCGCGGTCTGCCCGACTCATCCGTCACGTCCCACCTGCAGAGCGTCTCGCCTCTGCTGGACAGCCGTCGGCTCTCCGCTGACCGAGTCGGCAGCTGCCAGCTGCTCGCGCTGACTGGCCAGCCAGCTGGCCTGCTGCCGGCTGGCCGTCTGCAGCTCCTCGTGGCGACGGACACACTCGGAGAGGTGCTCCAGAATCTCCTGCGGAGGAAACGGGCAGGTATATAGTCAGTACATTGGAAGGGAGGAGCAGGACATCATGAACGACCGGCAATTCATTGCAGTGCGCTAGCTGTAAGACGGCTATAAAACGTTTGTAAGTACATTCATCGTGTTCGTTATCCAAATTACTAGCGAAAATGATATCAGTAAGCCCTAAAATGGAATATGCTGCTGCAAGCCCACGCAGAACCTCATTTCAATGACATCACTGACAAAAAAAAAAAAAATAGGACAGCAAAACAATAGCCACATCCAGTGCAGACTACCCAAGGAGGCCGACTGAACTTTGCCAAACGCCGCGTCTTATCGCCTCACTCATCACTGCATGACTAATGCCGGTCTCACCTTGGACTTGGTACGTATGGTGTCGAACAGAGCCTGGATTGAGGTGACAAAAGTTTGCAGTGAGTTGTCCTGGGTCTGAGCGATCAGCTCCCCGGCCCGCGAACAGACGTCGGTGACCAGTGAGTGGTGGGCGCCGATCTCCTGGTCCGTCAGCTCGTGACTCTGTAAGGTGGAGGCAGACACAGGTCGGGTCAGGTCGGTGGTAAAAGGTCAGCAGATACAAATAGTAAAATAAAATCAGAAGAACGGAGATGATGCAGAATTGAGAAATCAAATAGAAGCAAAAGCGAGCTGAAATATGAAATGAGGGAACGGATAACAGACAAAGAATAGCTCATAAAAAGACATGAATAAGGAAGGCTAAACAGTGAAGAGACTAGGACACAGTGGTATACAAAGATTAGCCAGAGAGCCATCGTTCGTCGTGAGCGCACCTGCAGCTGTGCCTGTTTCTCCTGCAGCGTGGCCCGCAACTGGGCGTGCGCGGCCATCGCCTGTTCGACGTCGTGCAGCCAGCGCGTCAGCTGCTCCTGCTGCTCGCTGAACTCGGCAAACTGCTGCAGACAGCTGTCCAGCCGCTGGCAGCCGGCCTGCAGCGCATCAGAGAGACGCTCCCAGCCGGCGCGCACCGACCTGTGGGGAGGGTCGGGTGAGGAGTCAGATTGGGACTGAAAACACTGCAACTGCACTGGGACGACACCACTGTACTGCAGATCAGACAATGACTAGACTAGACACCGTTGGCACAGATAACGTCCTTACATATGACTTGAAACGAACAATCACGCAAAAAATGATGACCGTCCCGATACGCTGGTACCTATCTCGTTGTTGCCGGCACAGACCGTTAATTCCCATTCACTCACATGTTGTGGGCGCGGACGGTCTCCCGTCCCAGCGGTCCAGTGTGCGCGTACAGCCGCTCTCCCAGAGTGAGCAGCGAGTCGAGCTCGCCGCTGCGCCGGCACCACTCGTCCGAGAGCTCCTCGAGCAGACGGCGCCGCTCGCGGAGAACAGACAGCTGGCCCACCACCGCGCTGCAGGGAACGGGCATTGTGAACAACGTGTGCGCGCATGGAGGGTCAGATGACAGTCAAACGGAATCAATATCAAGAAGCATTTGTCACGAATCGCTCGGCGAAGTAGACTTAAAAAAGGAAATAACAGAGAAAGAAGCGATGCATCAGGAATCCTGTGGAATACTCCCACCCCGTGGAACACTCTTCCATCTCACCTGTTTTCTGTCAGCTGCCGCTGCGCCTCCTCGATCCACTCGAGCAGCGCGGCGTGGCGCGACTCGTACTCCCCGTGTTCACCGGCCATCTGCCGTGTGCGCGCCGCCTGCTCCTGCAGCTGGGAGAGCAGCTGCTGACAGCGCGCCTGCAGCGGCTGCAGCAGGCCGCCGCCGCCGCCGCCCAGCTGCTGCGCCAGCTGCGACTGCCGCTCAGACACCTCGGCGCAGAGCGCCTCCAGACGATCCGCCTGAAACGGCACAGGGAGCACGGGTCAGCCAGCGTGATGTCCGGGATAGTTTACAAAGGAAGGCTCAAATGTGAAGATAAACTAGAGTCCATTATAATTCTAGAAGAGATTCCTGGATCCCAAGAAACCCAAACACATGATTCCAGCGTCCAAACAATTAACCCGCGCCCCACTGGGGTCTGTGTATAACACGCCCTACTGGGGGGGGGCTATTCATAGCCCCCCCCCCCCTCTTAACTCCGAAACTACTGGGCCGATCGTCAAAATTCAAACGGCGTCTGATAGCCCCGGAAAAACTGTCGAGCGAAACCTAATTTCATTGACCTCGAGGTCACCGATGACGTCACAGGTCAGGTCAAAGTAAAAATTATTAGCATTTTGGCTTGTTTACATTTTGGGCTCTGGCCGCCGTCTTACAAGTCAGATCAGGCTCATTTTTGGTTTCCACACTCGTGAACAGATGCTCTAGATACCTTGAGGGTACCAAACTTGTACTTTGATTTTCAGGTCAGGGTCAGGTCATCACAGGTCACGGAAATATTATGTCATGCGTCGGTCACGTGACACATGTTTTATGGTCCATTTAGGCCATAGATTTCGAATTTGATGTCGTCTGTGTCATTCGAGGTCATTTTGAGTCGAATTTAGCTTAGGTCAGGTCACTTTCAGGTCAAAAAAGGTCAAATTTTGAAGTTAAAATTTTTCAACAAAAAAGGTGTCTATTAGATGCAGTTTGAGCTCAGGAACACGATGGTGCCATTTATATTGGTGTACGATGTCAAATACGTACTGAAAAATTGATTTGAAAAATTTATAATTGTGAATTTTTTGCAATAATGCGTATAACTTGGCCATTTTTGAAGATATTTAGCTAAAACTTGCTAGAGTTAGTCATAATCATGCGTTCTGTCACATATATTCCGGTTTTTTCGAAAAGTCAAAAACTTTTTGAAAAACACATAAAAATATAAATTTTGAATATTGTTGAGGAAATGTGAGCAATATGTGCGCGAGTGCTGTCCACGCGCTAGAATAATTTCGAGTGAAAAATAAAGGAGAGCAGTTGTGAGAGACAACAGGAGGACAATATGTAGTGTTTTTTACTTTAAGCATTTAAGTTAATTTGAAACACAGTATTGTCAAATATTAAGTATTTAAGTTAAAATAAACACAACGCGAGGAGAATTATCACGGTAACATCTGGTGCCGTGACCACGGATTTAAGAATGAACGAGCCGAAGTTAAGAAGAAGGCGGAACGCTTACAAAGCCCGAGCTGCTAAGCTGAAGAGGGAAATTGAAGAGCTTTTGAGCAATGATGGAGAAAGAAGTGTCATCGAGCATAAATGTGATCAACTCAAGGAACAGCTGAAGACGATCAGGGAGGTCAGTGAGAACATTTGCGACATATTAGAGACGGACCAAGAAGCGGAGACTTTCATGGAGGATACGTACCAATTTACTGACGCCTGTGAAGACCTCATCATGACAGTCTCCAGGAAAAAGACCGAAAAGGACAAAGAACAGACAAAACAGGATGTGGAGGTCTCCGTTAAGGGCATCAAGCAACCCGAACTACCAGTGTTCGAGGGAGTCATCGCCAAGTTCGAAGACTGGGAGGTGGTTTTTGACGCGTTCATTGGAACCTCCAGGATTGATCCAAAGTTGAAGATGCTCTACCTAAAGAACAGCCTCTCTGGCGAAGCGTTGAAGCTCGTAGAGGGCTACAAACCATCTGAGATGGGCTATGCAAAGGCAAGAGAGGCCCTGACAGACAAGTACGGCGGAAAAACAAGACGGATCCGACATGGCCTCAATGACATTCGGCAGTTCTCCAACATCGCCGAGGGAGACACCAGGCGCCTGGAGCAGTATGCCGATAAAGTGAGCTGCCTTATCACTTTATTGAAGGAGAGTGGCTCAGTCGACGACTTATCAGATGTGTCGGCATACTACATCTTGGTGGCCGAAAAACTGCACCATTCGTACATAAAGAACTACCAAAGATGGCTGACAACCGCAGGCCAGGAAGACAACTTCGGTAACTTCGCCGAATGGCTATCAGAGGAAGCACGATGCGAGAAGAAAGCGAAGGAGATGGCGAGGACCGGAGACGAAACAAAACCAGGAAAACAGAAAACTGGTGGGAAAAGAACGTACGCTACGAACAGGATCAGCAAGCAGCATGAAAATGGTGAAGAGCAGACAGTTTGTGTGGCATGCAAAGCGCGTCATATGCTACAGGATTGTGCAGAGTTCCAGAGCTGGAACGTTTCGAGAAGATATGGGCTGTGCAAGTCTGAGGGAACTTGTTTCAGATGCCTCAGTGGAAGACACCGCGGGACTAGTTGCAGGAAATTCCCAGGATGCACAGTTGATGGATGCAACGGCAGTCATCATACTCTCCTCCACGCTGAACGGCAGGAACAAGAGCAGCGGCAGAGAGCCATGAACCGAGACCAGCCTGCGAGGTGGCAGAATGCGGCTGATATAAACGAATTTCATCCATCTAAGCAGACCAGTGGAGCCAGTGGCAGTGGTACTACGAGCAGGGCTACCAATCAGAGCTCAAGCTTGTAGCTTGAGCTCTGATTGGTAGCCCTGCTGCAGCGACTGCAGAGCAAGAAGCCACACACGGGAAGATAGCCTTCCAGGTGGCACCAGTCTTGGTTCAACACAAGAACCGCTCGGTTGTTCTCAACGCTCTGCTCGATCCCTGCTCCGATGCCTCCTTCATTACTAAGACTGCTGCAGGCGAGCTGGGTTTCGATGGACCAGAAGAAGTGCTGCAGCTCAGCACAGTGAATGGAAAAGAAGACGTCAGCATGAAGACGGGGGATGTGCAGTTTTCAAGTCTGCACAGCGCCTATGAACCAGAAATCAAAGTCCACGTGATTTCAAGTCTCGATGGTGCATCAGTGCGTACAAACTGGAACACGGTGAAGAGCCAGTGGCCGCACATGAAGACCGTACCATTTCCGAGAATGAGTGGCGGCAGTGTCGACATTCTGATCGGCCTCTGTGCGGTGACGACCCCGCTATTTGTGCCTCTGAAGACCGTGAAGGGCGCCGATTCCGACCCAGTGGCAGTTTTGACTCCCCTGGGGTGGACGGCATTCGGTGCGATAAAGAAGTTCGCCGAACATGGATCTTCTGCGCTGAAGATGAGGGAGAACATGTCGAACTTTTCCAGAACACTGAGGACGCACGTCTCAAAGACAACATGTAAAGAAGAAATCGAAGCAATCAAGTGCATGACTGACCTAGAGGTACTTGAAGTTAGAAAATCAGAAGAAAGTCTGATGTCACGTGAAGAGCAGGAAGCAACAAAGAAGGTTTCGAAGTCGCTGGTGTACAACGGTAGCCGCTATCAAGCAGCTGTGCCATGGAGGGATCAGGAACCTCAGCTGGTCAGCAACTATGAAGCAGCGATGCAGCGTCTTGTTCGACTTGAGCAGTCCTTGAAGCGACTTGGAGGCGACCTGCCTGCCAGGTATGGTGCGATTCTTGAAGAGTACGTCAAGAAGGGCTACATGAGCAAAATCCTCGCATCCAAAAGAGAGCACAGTGGTGAAAAAGAGTGGTTTTTACCACACTTTCCAGTCGTCCGAGAAGAAAAGGAGTCGACAAAGGTCCGAATAGTGTATGATGCAGCTGCAAAGTATCAGGGAGTGAGCCTGAATTCACAGCTTCTCCCAGGGCCGTCTCTTTATACTGACCTGGTCGAGACACTGCTCGGATTTAGACTGCATCGCATCGCACTGATCGGTGACGTCTGCGAGATGTTCTTGCAGGTCGAGCTGGCTCCGGATGACCGCAAGTATCACCGAGTACTGTGGAGAAACATGAAGGACGAGGAGCCCACCGTATACGAGTCAAACAGATGGCTGTTTGGAAACGCGGCCGCTCCATTCGTCGCACAGTTCGTGCTAAAAGAAAACGCCAAGAAGCACGCCAGCGCGTTTCCGCTGGGCTCTGAGGTGCTACTGAAACATTTCTACATGGATGACGGCATCCAGTCCTTCCGAACCGAACACGAGGCTGTAAAGGCGAGAGAGCAGGTCAGTACCATTTTGGAAGATGGTGGCATGAAGATCAAGAAATGGATGTCTAACAATGCGAGTGTGCTGAAGGCCATCCCCATCGAAGACAGAGCAGTCAGCTCTCAGCACTTCTTCGAAGATCAAGGCTCGGTACCAACCAAGACGCTTGGAGTAGTCTGGTCAGCAGACGAAGATCGCCTGTCCATAGACACGTCAAAGCGAGGAGGCCTCTGCGGAGAACTGACCAAAAGAGCGTGCCTCAGGGAAATGGCATCCGTCTTCGATCCGCTCGGTCTGTTCGTGCCGCTCACCATTCGAGCGAAGATGCTGTTTCAGCAGACGTGGAACAGCGGAGTAGACTGGGATGACGCCTTGCCAAGTGACCAGCAGCTGAAGTGGCGTGAGTGGTTTAAAGATATACTGCAGCTCAGCAGCCTTTCAGTGCCAAGATGTATTCATCCTTTCCCAGACGCTACCCTCCAGGAGATTCACGTCTTCTGTGACGCCTCGGAGAAGGCCTACGGCACCGCTATTTACGTCGTCTCCGAATGTGAAGGTAAACGAGCCTCTCAGCTCGCGCTGGCTCGCGCTCGGGTAGCGCCACGAGGGAAGATCCAAACTATTCCAAGACTGGAGCTCATGGGCGCCCTGCTAGGATTGAGGCTTGTGAAGACGCTGTGCACAGCAATGAACAAGACACTAGAAGAGGTGCACTTTTGGTCCGATTCGATGGACGTGCTGTGCTGGATTCGGAATGAAGTCCGCCGCTTTCAGCCGTTCGTCGCCCACAGGATATCAGAGATCTGTGAGGTGACGTCACGTGAACAGTGGCAGCACGTGTCGGGGACAGACAACCCGGCAGATGCGCCTACCAGAGGCTTAAGTTTTAGTGAGCTGAAAGAGAGTCGGCTCTGGATGGAAGGGCCCAAGTTTCTGCTAGAAGACAGTAACGAGTGGCCACCGAAGAAGAAATTTCAAGCGGAGCAGTTCGACAAGTCTGAGTTCAAGAAGGACCAGAAAAGCACATTTGCCGTGAGAGCGCCGTCAGGTCCCAGCTGCCGACTTCTCAACCCGGAGGACTTCTCAAGCTGGACAAGGCTTTTGAGAGTCACAGCCTGGGTGCGGAGATTCGTGAAAGTTCTGCGGAGGGAAACTGCGAACAGAACTCAACTGGACAAGGAATTGAAGCCAGAGGAGATACTGGAAGCAGAGAAGTTCTGGGTGCGTCAGGCTCAAAAGGACTCGTTCCCAGAAGAAAGAGAGCAGCTCGAACGAGCGGCAACGACCGGCACAACGGCACGGAAAGCCTGCCGGCGAAGCAGTGTGAAACAGTTGAGTCCATTTCTGGATGAAGATGGAGTCATCCGAGTGGGTGGTCGACTGCAGCGATCGGATCTGAGCTTTGAGACGAAACATCCGATGCTGCTACCGAAGAACCACATCATCAGCAAGCTGGTGATTCAGCATCTTCATGTGAAGGCTGAACATGGCATGGGCATTGAGCACACTCTGGCTGACCTCAGAATGCGATTCTGGATCCCTGCAGCGAGAGAGATGATAAAGTCCTGCTCCCGAAAGTGCGTCACATGTCAGAAGCTCACAAACAAGCCCGAGGAACAAGAGATGGCACCGCTGACGACGTCACAAGTACAGTCAGGTGGTCTGCGAGCCTTCGAGGTATGTGCAGTGGACTACGCTGGCCCGTTCCGGACCAAGCAGGGACGAGGGAAGGTGCGACAGAAGCGCTACTTGTGCATCTTCGTGTGCCTGCGAACAAAGGCGGTTCATCTGGAGATGGCGTACTCACTGGACACCGCCAGCTTTCTGCGCGCCCTGATGCGATTCATGTCGCGCCGCGGTCGTCCAGCAGAGATACGATCAGACAATGGGAGAAACTTCGTGAGGGCCGCGAAAGAACTGAAGAAGGAGGTCCAGGAGCTGGATGGCGAAGAAATTCAAAGAGAGCTGTCGCAGCATCAAACGAAGTGGACTTTCAGTCCACCTGGAGCACCTCACTTCAATGGGGTTTGTGAGGCGCTCGTGAAGGTAGCCAAGAAAGCACTGACGAAGACGTTAGAACGAGCGGATCTCACCGATGAAGAGCTGCAAACAGCCTTCTGCAAGGCTGAAGGACTTCTGAACTCACGGCCCCTTACAGCCGTCTCTTCCGATCCCAACGATCGGCCGCCGCTGACACCGGGAGACTTCATCACTGGACCGTCGAGAGTCGAGATGGCTCCCTCAGCAAGCAACGAGGGATGCAGTCTGCGACAGCGCTGGCGACGCTTGCAGCAGCTCAACACAGAGTTTTGGCGTCGCTGGTTGCGTGAGTACCTGCCGACTCTGCAGGTGCGGCAAAAGTGGACTGAAGCTCGACAGAATCTGAGGGAAGGAGAAGTTGTCTTACTTCTCGACCCGAGCGCACCTCGAGGAAACTGGCCGATGGCGAGGGTGGAGAGGACGTATCCTGGCTCAGACGGCCTGGTCAGAGTGTTGGATGTGAGAACGCCAAAGGGGCTTCTGAAGAGACCAGTCACCAAGATCATTCGGCTGGAGATGGAGCAGTGACTTGCTCCAAAAGACGATGGGGTGAAGTTCTGAATGACATGAGGGGGTCATTCAGGGTCGGGGGAGATGTTGAGGAAATGTGAGCAATATGTGCGCGAGTGCTGTCCACGCGCTAGAATAATTTCGAGTGAAAAATAAAGGAGAGCAGTTGTGAGAGACAACAGGACAATATGTAGTGTTTTTTACTTTAAGCATTTAAGTTAATTTGAAGCACAGTATTGTCAAACATTAAGTATTTAAGTTAAAATAAACACAACGCGAGGAGAATTATCACGGTAACAAATATTATTATATAAAATTATCGAAATTTTCAAAATTTTGAAAATCCGAGATAGCAGTTTGATAGCACGGTCAATTCTGAGTCCATTCATGCAAAGAAATTGGATCGAGCTTAAAAACTGAGCTCTTGGGAGCGATTGCTGTGGTTCAATGTTTTGCGTCGAAATTGGACGAACATGCTGTCACTCTGACGTCATTTCCGGCCGACCTATGGTAGCTACGAAGTTCAAATTTTGACACAAGGTGTCAAATTGATGCAGCCGAAGGTGCTGAAAGTTTGGCGTCGATCCGTCAAGCGGTTTGGAAGTTATTGCTGAAAAACGGGAGGGGGGGCTATAAATAGCCCCCCCCCCCCCAGTGGGGCGCGGGTTAAGAAGATTGTAGCATTGTTTTCCCCTTTAACTCTCAGAGTATGATTTATTTCAGTCAGGTGGACGATTGCGGAACTTTCGAGTGAATGGTGTTTCAGTTGTTCTGACAAGACCTAAGCACCACAGTATCCCTATTGCGTTACTGTGACTGTTTCCGTCAGCGGCGCTGCCACTCACCTCTGCCACCTTCTCTGGCTGCGTGTCGAGCAGCGCCGGCTCTGCCACGGCCTGCTCCTGTTTCAGCAGCCAGTCGCCCAGCTGTCGGCTGCACTCCTGCTGCGCCTGCTGCTGCTGCTGCGCCGCCTGCAGCCGGAAGCGCAGGTCGGACACGTCCGAGATGTAGCGGTGGTGGTCGGCCTGCAGCCGGCCCATCTCGGCGTCCAGCGCCGCGCCGCCCTCCGGCGCAGTGTCGGGACGGACCGCGTCCAGCGCCGCCTCGCAGGCCTTCAGCAGACCGAGACCCTCCTGGGCGGCCGCCTCCAGCCGCTCCACGGCCGGCAGTAGCGCCGCCGCCGGCTCGTTCTCCGCCATCACGGCGGCCAGCCGACCCTGCTGGGCGGACAGCCACTCGCCGACGGCCTGCTGCGCGCGCGCCAGCGCCTGGTGACGGTCCACGGCCGCCTGGGCGCGCTCCACCCGCGCTCCGACCGCCTGTTCGAGCGCCTCGTAGCGGCGCAGGCACTCTGCCAGCTCGGCGGGCGGAGCGCCGTCGGCCGCCAGCTCCGCGCGCTCACGCAGCTGGGCCACCATGTGCTGACGAAGCTGCACCTCCTGACGGCGAGCCAGCTCGTCCCGCAGCACTGCCGTCTTCTCAGGGAGCGTGGCGCGCGGCTCCAGCTCCTCTTCCAGCTGCGCCTCGGCGCCGTCCAACCACGTCACCACTTGGCGGAAGCAATCGTCGAACGAACTCAGCTGCAGCACCAGCGCTTCCAGCTTCTTCAGAGCTTGGTTGGCGTCGTCCATCAGTTTCTCCCAGCTGTCTCTCAGAGCGCGCAATTCGGCGCGAACCGTCTCCCGGGCGGAGGGAGCCAGCTCGGCCAGAAGCTGCTCTGCAGGCGTGGTGGCCGCGGTGAGGTACTGCTGGCCGTCGTGACAGCGGCCAAGTGACTCGCGCATCTCCTTCATACGCTGCTGCTGGCCAAGGGTGGGTCGGCTGGCCGCCAGTACCGCCTCGTGTTTGGTCAGTTCCTGCCGGGACTCCTTCAGCCAGCTGGTCATGGCCCGCTCGGCCTGTCGGTACTGCTCGGCCGCCTCTGCCGCAGCTGCCAGCCGGCGCTGCTGGGCGGCTGCCAGCCGCTGCTGGGCCTCCAGCCGCGCCTCCAGCTGCCGCGCCTGCTGCGGGGCCGCACAGTCAGCGCTCAGCTCGGCTAGTTCTGCAGCCAGTGCGGCGGCGCGCCGCAGCGGCTCGGCCAGGCCCTGGAGGCGCGTTACGCTCTGCTCAGCGGTGGCGCGGTGCGGCGCGATCTCGTCTGGCGAGGTCAGATGTCCGGCTGGCAGCTCAGACGCCTCAATCTCCGTCAGAGGCTGGCTGACTTCAGCCGCCGCCGCCTCGAACTCGGTCCACTTAGCCAGCAGGGCGTCGGTGCGTGTCTGCGCATCGGCCGCCCGGCCGGCGACTTCGTCCACATCTGCACCATGCTGCTGGAGGGCGGCAGTGACGGCCGGCCGCCGCTGCTCCGGCAGCGCCGCCAGGTACTGGTCGGCCGTCTCGGCGAGACGGCTCTGGGCAGCGCGGGCCGCCTCCAAACCCTGGCTGACCTCAGCCAGAACGTCCCGCCGAGTTTCCACGGCCGCCCGGTCTTCGGCCGGTGCCGACTCCAACCAGGTCAGTTTGTCCGAGAGAGCAGACAGGTCCTTCTTGGAGTCCTTGAGCAGCAGGGTGAACTTCTTCTCCAGAGAGCCACCGAGCAGCGCGGTGACCCGCTTCAGTTGTGTCTTGATGTTCTTCAATTTCGCTGCGAGCAGCGAATGCTCCTTCTGATATGTGCTGGTGGGTAGTCCTTCCTCCTTCATCGCGTCGATATCGGTTTGTACAGCCGCCAGGGCAGTCTCCAGCTCGGCCGCCGTCTCGGCGCACTCGTCAGCCGTCTGCAGGCGGGCCACCACCTGCTCAGGCGTTCCAGCCGGCTCGTCCAGCGTGGCCACTCTCTGGCGCAGCTCGATGGCCGACTCGGCGCAGCGGCCTAGCGCGCCGCGCAGTGTGGCCTCCCGCGACACCAGTCCGTCCAGAGTGGTCTGAGTGCCGCGCAAAGCCGTCTCCACAGCAGCCAGCTGTTCGGCGAGCCGCCGGCGACCCGACTCGAGCGCCGGCACCTCAGAGGCGGACAGCAGGCGCGTCACCTCATCCACCTTGTCAGCAGCAGCCCGTGCGGCCGTTTGGTGCGCGGTCAGCTCGTGTCGGCACTGCTCCAGACGCGCGGCAGTCTCTCGCAGGCCGGCCGCGCCGTCGGCGGCCGAGCGCAGTGTCTGTTGTGCCGCCGCTGCCCAGCGCAGCCCCTCATCCTGTGCGCGAGCCGCCTGCGCCCAGAGCACCTGGGCAGACTCCAGGTCGGGCAGCGTGCGCTCCAGTTGAGCCCGCAGCTGATCAGATTGGGTCTCACGTGCTGACGCCTCCACCCTCTGTAGCTCATCTTTCAGACACTCGGTGAGTCCGGCAGCGGCGGCGGCGGCGTGCGCTCTCGTCACAGCGGCGGTCAGCTGCCGCCGAGTCGCCGCCAGCTTCTCAGCCGCACGCCGTCCGTCGCTCAGACTCTGTTCCAGATCCGAAGCGGCGCTCGGCGCGGTGCCCAGACCCTGCTGGAACGCCTCTGCGCCGTCGATGGCAGCATTCGCAGCCTGCAGAGCCTCCTGTACGGCCTTCCACGCGTCCCAGAGCGACTGGTGTCGTGCTGCCGTCTCGGTCAGCGTCTGCCGCAGGTTGTTCCAGGCGCGGTCCAGGTTCACCACCTCTTCGTGTACCTCGGAGAAGCGGGCCGGGTCCGACTCCAGCACTGCCTGACTCTCCTGGTGCAGCGCCTGTGGGAAAGCGGGCGGTGTCGGTGAATGGGCAAAACAAGGCATAATCTTGCAAGCGGTATCAGACACACAGAGCGGCGGCCCCGTTCAGAGGAAAGGCTCAGCTGCTGCCCTCAGCGAAAAATGAGCATCCATCAACTGTTCACAACTGCTCAAATAGGTACGGTGTTTATACACCTCAAGAAGAAAAACGAAAACTTCATTACTCTCATACATGAAAATCACCATTCAAAAATCACATGCTACGTTCTTCTGCCATATTCTTATCTTTCGTTGGAATATCTCTCATTTCTAGTCTCCTCACCTGAAAGGCCTCAGTCCTGGAGTCGGCCTCTCTCTGAGCACAGTCGAGTTGGGACAGCAGCTCGGGCAGCTCAGCCAGCCGGGCGCAGCCGGCCTGCTCGGCCGACACCCGACTGCGAGTGGCCTCCAGCCAGGTGACCAGGCCGTCCCGGTCGCCGCAAAACTTTTCCCACACCTGACAGCAGTCAAACGCCGGGATAAGGGTGAATAAAATGAAGTGAAATGCATTGCTAGGGAGTTGTGCGCAGGAAAATTGTTATGAACGAAATATTTGACAGCATGGATGATCTAGATTCATTCAAATGGTTCCGCTTTCAAAGGTCATGTTCTTTTGTTCAGTGACAACCCCAGTCCCACAGCCACCGGCCACCCCGCTCGTGCCGCAGCCGCACCTGTTGCCGCTCGGCCAGCCGTCCGTCGTGCTCGTCCAGCTGGTCCAGCAGCTGCTGCAGGTGGCGCAGCGTGTGATCGCTCAGCTCAGCCGGCGGCTGCTCCAGCTCGCCGCGCAGCACGGTCAGACCGGCCCGCTCGGCGGCCGGCGCCAGCGCCGCGGCCTCCGCCTCCAGCGCCGCCTGCTCGCTCTGAGAGAGCAAAGGTGATGGGGAGAGGAGTTAGAAGTTAGCCGGGCTACGCACACTGCACGAAACGAGCGAATCAGTTCGCAGATCTACACAGCTGTGCCTGAAGGATGGGAAGTGTTTGAAGCACACACACGGCGGTTAATATGACATAGTTTTACATGAATTTCTAACACGAGCAGCAGACTTTTTGTCTTTTGACAAAACTTTTTTTGACAGACTCTTTGTCCGCTGCACTTCATTAACAATATTCGACGTGTTTCAATACCCATTCACTTAAGCTCCCCCAGGGCCCACAGCAACATCATTCACATCACTCGCTGGCGAGTACTAACGTCGCTCGACAAGTCTGTTCCACTCACCTGCAGCGTCACCAGATCCTGTTTGAGCTGCGGCACCTTCTCGGCGGTCAGGGAGTCGGACTGGAGTCGGTCCGACATCACCGATAACTGATCGCCCAGACGCTTACTGAAACACGCCAAAAATAGTTTGTCAGATTGGCTTCTAAGAAAATTAACATTCCCTAAAAAGGTAGCCAAGACGCTAGCCCATGCTCGATTAATTGTTCAACTCGTCATATTTTCACATTACAAGTGTTAAAGTCACATTCCATCCTCCTAGTAGAGACCTGTGAGAGGCCAGCTCTGCCCACAGTCCCACGGCATGGTGTCTGTGTCTGTGTCCCGTTAAACGGACCTGTGTGATGCCAGTTCGGCCCACAGGCCGACGGCCTGGTGCCTGTACGCTGAGTTATACGGACCTGTGCGAGGCCAGGTCGGCCCACAGTCCGACGGCCTGGTGTCGGTCGGTGACGGCCGTCTGCGTCTGGCGCGCCGCTGCGCACAGCTGCTCAGAGTGGTCGCGCAGCTGGGCGTTCTCCTTGGACGGCCGCTCGTTGTAGAGGCTGGTGGCGTCCTCCCGAACGGACTCGCAGTTCGGTAATTTCTGAGGACGCGGCGACAACGATACACCGTCAGCCAGGATTTTCTCACCACCTAAGAGGGCGCTATTCACAACTGACGCCCAATAAATATAGATAGGTGACACCACAGGGCGCAGATCATATGGATCCCCGTTGATCATGCATCATGGAAAAAATTGCAAAATTTAAATATTGAACTAGTAGCCAGATGAGAAGAAACAGCAATAATAATATATGTTCCCACAGCTAACACTGAACACAAGCCACTATTAAAATTAAATAATCGTGGCTACGCCGGCTACATTTCGAATACGTCCAAATAACGCCAAATATGCCATCGAAAAATAAAAACTGCAAAACACGTGAACAAATAAGCTTCTTTCGTTACGACGAATTTTATTTTGAATCCTTTTGCTTCGGTATAATCTGGCGCGGCGAGCCAGCTATTTCTCACACAGAAAATCATTATAAGAAGACAAGTTCCAGAATAATGTATTTTACTCGGAGATGACAACCACAACATCAAATATTGAATACTTCTAAGCGATATTGCTCCGCTGCGGAAAAATGATCATAAAATAAATCGATCATCAATTAAGCCATCGAAAATGATTCAAGTCGCTATCTTTGAATCACTGGAGTTCGAGTCCCGCCCGAGTGTACAGCCCAGCCACAGCCGCGTTCGTCTGATCTGGGGCCACCAAATTGTCAGCGCAGACCGGCGAGCGGCGAAAAACAGAGTTATACGGACTAACTAGTGACTAGTGACTAGGCAGCATACGTCTAAATCATCCACGCGAAGAAACAATGACTCATCCCTCGCCACTGCCTCCCACCGAAGCCCGGCGGGCCGCGTATTCTCACCGAGGTGAGCTCCTGCTGCATGGCGGCCAGCGAGGTGAGACACTCCCAGAGCGAGTCGATCTGGACCCGGTCAAACTCTGCCAGCTGGGTCTTCAGGCCGTCCAGCCAGCCGGTGAGCGCCGTCAGACGACGGTACGTCTCCTCCCTGAGAACGAACAGATGCCGGGACATTTCCATCAAATAATGTATATCGCGTAGATTTCAATTCACGCAACACGTTTGAGCATGTCACGGTTATATTCACATTGGCGTAGGTAAATTGCACTGCCATCGATGACAAATGGAACAAAACAGAAAACTTTGTAGCCAAATTCGAAGGACCAATCCAAAAAGCAGAATTTAATGACGCGCTCATTCAATCCCCTGCTCTAATCCAGGACCACCCGCTTGTTCACCTCTGGTCTCCCCTCCCTCTCTCAGCACCCACCTCTGACTAGCAGCATCTGCCGTCTTGGCCTGCCGCTGCCTCAGTGTCTGGTTCAGCTGGGAGACCTCGGAGCGCAGGGCAGCCACGTGAGACCGGAGCGCGGCGGCGCCCTCCGGGTTCAGCAGGTCGGCCAGCTGGTCACAGCGCTGCTGGAGGCCGAGCACGGCCGACTGCCGGCCGGGCAGCTCACTCACCGCCGGCTGCCGCAGCGCGGGAGAAACAGGAAGTCAGAGGGTGGGACGAGCCATGACTCTAATCGACACTCGATAGACACACCGTTCTGGCCAAGAAAGAGCACGTGCTTTAGAGTTGGTGAACTACCAATTGATCTTGAATTTGTGTGCAACCCGCTATATAAAGAGCGTTTTTGCTTTCGCACCATTAACCAGTCACTTTTGCTTTTGCACTCAAATTTTCCCATAAATCATCGCTGCAGCAACGTACGTAACACTCACTCACATAATGACCAGGAATGGTACGGTAAGCCCATAATTTAAATTTCAGAATCACCCATTCTCACCTGCAGTGTGTCCAGCTCCTGGCTGGCGTCAGGCACGTCTCCCTCGGCTGGTACAGCGGCGCCCACCTCGTCCAGCCACTGACGTACAGAGGACAGCTCCGTGTGGACGTCCCGCAGGGCGGTCACTAGGCCCTGAGGGACGAGGAACAACGGTCAGTGGCGGGCGGCCCGTGAACCACGGGTCAGAGGCGGGCTAATGGGGAGACTGAAGTGATTACTGAACGGCCATGGCCGGGTCATCAAAGTAAAACACCGCAGCAGTGCAGCAAAGCTGACTGAGCAACTGTACATACAGTATACAATGAATCTAATCAATGGCCAGAGTCAGTCACCAACCTGCATCTGCTGCACCCAGGCGACCGATGTCTCTCGGACCTTAGTCCAGCGAGTGACCAGCGAGTCGGCCTGGTCCGAGACGTTAAACACCTGAACCATCTGGGCACTCTCGTCCACTATCACCTGAAACCAACGGTGATGATGATGATCATGGTGATGCTAATGATGATTATTCGGTTTTAAGAATTATACTCTAATTATTAGAGTGGCAACTTAGCATACCAACCAGTTCAATGACACCGCGATCAGTCTAAATTGTATTACTGCGATTGAGCCGGAAAATCCAGGGGGCATACCAGATGGCTGGGCAAAATGACGTCCTTACCATCATACACTGACGTCGTACACGTGGCATGTAAGCCCTAGTCTGCCCATGACAAACTATCACCATCTATCCGCCGCAGAGTATCTAACCAACCCAAACAATACATGCTCGCAGCGCCAGCATCCACTGCAGTGCACCCCTCACCTTGACGGCCGGCTCCTTGTCGACACACTGGTCCTCAAAGTGCTGGCACTGCTGCAGTATCTCGGCGGCCTCCTCCAGTTGAGCGGGCCGCGGCAGGTCGGCGGCCACCTTCTCCTCCGCCCAGTCGAGCCACGGCACCAGCTCGCCCACCTGGTGGGGAGAAGCGGTCAGACGCGGACTCAATGGAGTGACACCGCGGTTGTCTGCAATTCCCAGTTCCTCTCTGCGTCCTCCTAAACACATAACTGACGTTCTCTTCCCGTACATACACGCTTAGCAGCAAATACCAAAACGGTCTCCAATACGCATCATTATGCATATGCACGAGAGTTATACATAATGGTGCGATAACGTCGACAACGAACCCCAAACAGAGTTGATCATTATGCAATTAGAAAAGAAGGTATTTCTCCCATATTACTCATGCGAGAAAAGATTAAACCAAACTCCTTCCGGACCCGTCCGGTGTGGCCCGCTAACCTGTTCCTGATAGGCATGCCAGTGTTTGTACTCGTCCTCGAGCACGGCGCGCTGTTGGGCGGCCGCCTCGCTCATATGCTGCAGCGTGTCTCCCAGGATAGCCAGCTCACTGCGGAACTGGCCGCCGTCGTAACCCTCTGTGATGGAAGGGGAGCGGGTGAGTTAGTGCAGAGTTAAGTACCACAAATAAATAGATTTCAAGCAGCTTATCCTACGAAGCATATTCCATCGCAAGCGATGTAGTCAGGAAAGGTTACTATCCGAGGTTTAAGAAAGTTTACCTGCCCTGGCCGCTCGGTCTCGGCACCTATTTCCATTTGTAACACCGTAACTTACCTGACTGCAGCGTGTCCATAAGTTCGTTCAGCTGCTGTCGCTCCTCGGCGTGCTGCTGCAGCTGCTGGGTCAGCTGCTGCAGCTGCTGACGGCGCGTCTCGGGCGGCATGTCCAGGGTGCTGAGCCGCTGCTGACTGCGCTGGGCTGACTGGAGACCCAGACGCACCGCCTCCACACGGTCGCTGACCTGCGGGGCGGGTCAGGTTATAGGTCATAAATAAACAGAACATCAAAATGGCCTCTGACCTACACAAATGGATGCAGGAAGTGCCCACAGATGATGCAGGCTAACAGGTCATCAGCAGTTTGTTTTCATATGTCCCAATTGGGTCAGGGCGCGTAGCATATACAGAGCAACAAAAAAATTTTGAAAGACATCTGCAGAACATTAGATCCACAAGCTTGTCGCTTACCTGCGCCCAGGTCTGCGCGGCACTGGTGAGGTTGTCCATCTTCTGTTGCAGCTGCTCCGAGACGGCGGCCACGTCGGCGTCACTTTCCTCCACCTAAGCAAGGGTGGGATACGCTCGTCAGCACACAGAAACGCCAATCAGGGAAGCAAAAGGGACAAGCCGACTACGGTCTAGACAACCAACAGACAATGACTGAGGACAATAACAGTTGGTGATATTCAAACCATTCCCGACGCACTTCATCAGGACGTAAGAAAACTTCTCTCGTCAGTCAGTGTTCTTCGTAACCCACCTGCTCTTTGAGCTGCTGGGCGGCTTCGGGCGCCAGCCGGCCGCCGAGCTGCTGGGCGATCTGCTGCAGCCGCTGCTGCATCTGGCGCGCCCGCTCCGGCTGCTGGGTCTGTACGTGCGCGGCCAGCTCGGCCAGCGCCGGGCCCGGCTCGGCGGTGTCGGCGGCGGCGTCCAGCGCCGACCGGTGTGTCGCCAGCGCGCACTGCAGGTCGGCCCGCCGGTCAGCCAGCTCCGTCCACAGCCGCTCCGTCTCTGTCGGGGTCGGATAGAGGACGGTCAGACGGATGTGATAAATGATGACCACAACGCGAGTTACACGGAAGGAAGACGACTAGGCGACCAGAAGGACGATAACGAGGCCGGGTCAGATATACCTCAGGACAAATTAGTACGCGACACTTCATGGCCAAACAGATTGATTACATCAAACTGCAAAAACTTCCCTTAATCCTTTCGCTAGGCCCACTGTAGAATGTGGATGTTATCTGCCGAACACCGCGCACACCGCGTCACCCGCCGTTACCTGTAGCGCTGTCCAGTCTCTGTATGACCTCGGCGTTGCTCTCTGCCCAGACGAGCTCCAGTTGCTCCAGTGCCTCGGGCAGCAGTGCCGGCGCCTGGCTCAGGTCCCGGCTCAGGTCCCGGCCGCGCTGCACGGCCGCCAGCACGCGCGGCCGCTGCTCCTCGAGCCGCTGCACGGCGCGCTGCTGCTGCTGCCTGCTGTCGGCTAGCTGGTCGGCGCTCTCCCAGACGGTGGGCACCGCGGCCGACTCGGCACGCGCCTCGTACAGCACGCGAACGATCTGACGGGGACGGGGAGGGGTGGCGGTGATAGGAGCAGACACGTGTGGTTAGCTGCCCGATTGCCGAGCTGAGCAGTACACGCAACCCGCATGACTATCGGTGGTGGCTGAAACCGTCATATTCCTAACTACGAGCATCACGCATTGCATACTTTCTAGCAGACTCAGCTGGAACCATTCTAAAATAACACCCTACCAAGTGCCCCGACTACGCAACATCCGGCTTCAACTCCCCTTTACCGGCCTAACCGGCAGCACCCATCACACTCACCTCATCAATCTCGACTCTGTAGGAGTGACACTTGGCCAGTCCGTCCAGACGTACGGCCGTCGTCTCCAGCCTCGGCACCAGCTCCTTGTATCGCATCACCAGTTCTGAGAGCTGCTGTCGCTGGGTCTCGGCCTCGGGGCCGGGCACGGAGGTGACCAGCGCGTCCAGAGTGGACACCAGCCAGCGCATCGTCTGCTTGCGCTGCGCCAGCTCACCGAACACAGCCTGGGGAGGGAGAGGAGACTGAGTAAACGGCAGCGCAACGACCAGCACCCGATTCTAAGCATGTCACTGTGTCAAAATGAGACAGAATGGTGAATATAGTGATTATAATATATGGTTAGCCTTTACAGCTAACCTGAGTAGAATTACAAGAGTGGTCGACGCTATGAATATAGGCTAGGCTATGAGTTGTATCACTCGACCTGTCGTCAATAAGATTAGGTTTAAGCATACATATATCGCTCCTAGATGGGTGCCCCATGACCCCCCACCGGCCACTGGCATGTCCCCGTACCTCCCTCCGTCTCCCAGACTTCCCACCACCTCTGACGGCACACCACGCACCTGGAACTGGTCCCTGGTGTTCTGCAGCTGCTGCGGCGAATCCACCGTGTCAATGTCCGTCTGCAGACTCTGCTCCACCGCCGACAGCCAGTCGGCCGTCTGCTGGCGCCTGAAACGAATATAGGAACGCTAGTTAGCCAGTCAGGCGAATACAGCATGGGTCGGCTTTGATGGCGTATCAGCACAAGCTTTTATTTATTCCTCCCTCCCCAGCCTACTCTTGGCTGCTGGCACCGGTATCGTAAGTTGATACTCGTCCAGCGCACCCGTCCACGCCCCGGCGTTGTACTTTGACTGACCTCTGTTCGTACTCGCTCCATCGTGCCGACATCTGCTCCAGCTGACTGCTGACGGAGTCGGATCGGCGCTGGAGGTGACGCCACCGGTCCTCTAGTGAGCGGAGCTGGGTGACCACCTCCCGGTCCTGGGAGCCCAGCTGCTGACATGTCTCTCTGTAAGAGGGACAGCACAGTCAATTGGCTGGGTGACCACCTCGCGGTCCTGGGAGCCCAGCTGCTGACACGTCTCCCTGGGGTTGGAACACAACACAGTCAGCACAGCACGGTCAGCAGTCAGCACAGCTGGGTCAGCAGTGACCACCTCCCGGTCCTGGGATCCCAGCAGCCTGCTGGCATGTACCCCTCGGGAATTTAGGGACACAGCATAGCCCAGCACAACAAGTCCTATATAGTAGCCCAGCTTCTGTAGCCCAACCTTCCTACCCATCTACCTAGCTTTGAGTTTCCTTTCCTCCCCTCCCTCTCCCGTACCTGGCGTCGGCCAGTTTCTCTCCGATCCGGTCTGCCAGCGGCTGGACGGTGCTGCGGTGCCGCTCGGCCAGCTGCGCCAGCTCCCCGCCGCGGTGGATGGCGTGGTCCTCGTCCGCCAGGTGCCGCTCCAGCTCCGTCAGCTGCTGGCTCAGCTGACTGAGCGTGGCCAGCACCTCCAGACGGGCCAGGTGCGCCGGGCCGCGCTCCACCGTCCGCTGCCGGACACAGCGAGCAGACGTCACGACACAGAGTACAGTGTACAAAGGTCAAACACACAGAAAAGAATAAGTTATAAGTAAGCAAAACACGACCGGTTCAGAGACAGGAAAGAGACACACACACGGACGCGATAGCACCGTTCGGTATCCAACAATATCCTCAATCGATTCGGTAGGATCAACAAACATCTAGCCACTCTAAAAGACGATGGCAATTAATGTGCCGGATCTCCCAAGTCATAGGCAATACAGTCTGAGCCGTGCGCACCTACACAATGTATGCACGTCGTCATCAAGGCGGTTTCAGCTGCAGTGACCCCGCGCACGTTAAGACCGGCCGCCGTCAGCACGCACATACCTGCCATCGGTCGTGCAGTCGGGCCACGGTGGCCTTCACCGGCTCTCGGGCCTCCGGCGGCAGCGACTCAAACAGCTCGCGGCCGCACTCGCTCAGCTCGGTCAGACGCTCCGTGGGCGCCTCGTAGAATACTCGCTGTGGACGGAAACCCGTGGTCAGTGCGCGGTCACTCACAGACCGTCCGGCAGTCCCGCCGCTTAAAAGCAAACAATTCCCCACCAGGTAATTTTGGTCAGGGAGATGTCATCATGGACGTCAAAATTGGTCATATCAGAGAGCCAGCTAGGCGTTTTCGATTCGCCACTACAATTCGCCAGCAGCCTCTTTTCAAACACCGGAGATCGTTATCCCACAGTCTCTGTTCAAGTTGTTCCATCCCATCTACTGCCTTGATCATGAGACCCCGTTTTGCCGTCCCCCTCCCCAGTAGCCGCCGTCCTATCTCAGTCTCCAGAATCTCCACCCCGCGGGTCATCAGGCGCCGCCGACACCTGTCAGACTGCGGCACGTGACCTAATGGTCCCACAAATAGACAATGCCCCACGCTGCAAATCACCCACTGTCGGCGCGCCGCTGTATATTTACACAGGGCACCGGTGTCAGACGGTGCAGGAGGGGACACGGGAGGGCGACTCGGCCCCGGCGGCGTTCACTTTCACCACGGCGCAGCGGGCGGCCAATGAAAACAGCCAATGTCACGGGTCATGAGCGGTGACTGACGGACTGCGCTGCCGTCTCTGGGCTGTCAGCCGACTGCCCGGCCACCCAGCAGTGGCGAGTCCGCGCCGGCGCACGGAAAACGGGCTGGGATAGGGGGATTTGGCATTCCAACGACGGAAATAATTGTGCAGTGATTCATGACAGTCTACGGTTGCGATGGCAGAAAGCAGTCTCGAAGACGTTACATAACAGACACAATGGGAAATAGAACATCATAACAATAGCTACAGAGCGCACGAATACCGCCCCTATCCCATAAAAAGCATGAGCAAAAGCAGTTGACAGGTGAACTGGCGTCCAGTCCGGAATGAGAAGCCAGTAAGAACCAGCGGAAAATATTATGCCTGGCGCTGTGAGCATTGTCGGCCGATTACGACAAAGCGCCGATGCAGCTGCCCGCTCGGTACACTGTCGATGTTTACCTTGTGCTGTTCGACGGCGGCCTCCGTGTCGGCGCGCTCCGTCAGCAGCTGCTCGGCCACCTCCAGCCACTCAGTGACGCCCCGCTCGGCAGCCTCGAACCGGCGCCACGCGTCAGAGGAGCTGCTCAGCTCCTGGGGACGGCACAAGCCCAGGTAGAGGTCAGAGGGCTATAAAACACCAATCGCAGACTACCATCTGGCCCCTCCAGTCCCCAACTAGTGAAGCGGACCGCCCTTCCCCTCCCAATGGCCCTATCAGTGCTGCCGTAACTACTCTGTCTCTCCCAGTCACGCTACTATAGTCATTGTCCCTCGCTGATACCCACCTGCTGTAGCCGCTCTGCGCCGGCCGTGAGCTCGGCGAAGCGGCCACTGACGGCCGCCTGTTCCCTCTCCAACTGAGTGGTGTCCAGGGCGGGCACGGCACGGGCCGCCTCCAGCAGACCCGACACGATCTTGGTGGTGGAGTCCAGCAGGGAGCGGCAGTACAGCTGCCGGGAGAGCACCGTCTGCCGGGCGGGTACCAGCCGTCAGTGGGCAGTTTACTCCGGGTGAACGAGGCAGGGGAGCCGGAGGGGAATGGAAGACTCGAATTGACACCTTGGTGAATTCAGGTACCTACCACGCTGAGCAAAATGCAACACCATGCCCAAAACCCGGCGACCCGGAGCATTACAACAGGCAAAATTACGCGAACAGGAAAGCACGAGGCCCTGAAAATGAAAGTCTACACATGTACGTCTTCACGCCAGCAGCTGCTACCCGACACTCGATGCCGACGTTCCCTCCCTGTTCCCAGTTTCCCACTATGTGCGCACCTGCAGCTGGTCGGCCCGCTGGGCCACCTGGCCCGCCTCGGTGGCCGGCGCCGGTCCGTCCAGCAGCTTGGACAGCTCGTCCAGCCAGGCGGAGACCTCTGCCTGTCCGCGGCCGGCCGCCGCCAGCCGGTCGGCCGACTGGGCGCACACGTCCGCCTGCTGCTGGCAGCCCGCCTGGCCGTCCGACACCGACTCTGAGGAGCATGAGGGTGGGGTCGGTCAGGGGTGGCACATCACATCTGCGGTGGTTAGCTCAACGCAAATATTTTCATAATTTACCATACCAATTTATAGCGAAACGCAACTTATTCACCACTAAAGGCATCAGAGGCCTCTTGCACCAAACTACCTAGCTAGGTAAAATCGAAAAACCAGTTTCAGAATAAGCTAATCTAACGGTGGTAAATTTGTTTGCAATAGCCCAATACATAATCCTACATTTGCTTGCTAAATTTTGCACGCAACTTGTTACATTTGAGACTTGGACTGGGTATACGATGCAAAATAATCCAAGCATTGGTGCAAGAGGATTTTGGTGCAAGAGGCCTCTGATCTTTTCAGAACTCACAACTAATGCGTGGTTCACACCGGATCCGTAATGACCGTTACGTTCCGTAATGAATACGGTGGCGATTAAAAAATATCTCGAAAGTGGAGGGCACAATGCAACGCGCATGCGTGGTTCGATTTTTTGACGCCGTAACGCCGTATTGGTTACGGACTCGGTGTGCACCGGGAATTGCCATCGCTGAGCGTCACCGTTCGAATCAAGTGCGCCAAAACTCTATTTTGTTGATAGGCAAGCGGAAAATGGACTAAAGCCAAGAGCTGTTTTTTAATATCAGAGCGCCAGAATGTAGACTTTTTTACTCTCTTCCTTTCAATTTGTTAATTTCACTCTGACTTAGCGATCTGCAATTGTATCGAGTCATATCATTGTTATGCGTGGTTCACACCGGATCCGTAATGACGCCGTAACCGTTACGGACGTAATGAGCTAGAGATTTCTCAAGATTCCCCAAGCATTGTGACTTTTGTAGACGAAGTTGAAATGTGGCAACCAGTCGCCGTAAACTGGCAGCGTCCACCGTACTCGTTACGGAACGTAACAGAAGTTGGGAAAATTGAACTTTTCGGCTCGACCGGCCGCCGTAATGACTTTTATCGACATGTATCTCCAAAACGGTTTGACTGTTTGATGAGCGGTCTTCTTTGGGGAGGGGCTGCATCCTTTCTACCCTGAACTGTGCTACTGATATCACTCATGAGTGCCTGTTACAGCACGTGTCACGTGCGACGAGAGAGGTTCCAAAAGAGCTCGTCATACCATAACTCGGGAACGGCTGAATGGAAACGGTTCAATATTTGTTTGTTGTTTTGGCTGGGTGCACACTACACATCCCGTGACCTTAGGACGATTTCGAATTGCCTCAGCGCGTGCGCACGTGCGCACCCCTTTTTCACATCTCGGGATTGGCTGTGCCAATCGCGCCCATATTTGGTATGCTGAATGACATCATGTTTATATGCAAATTGCACAGGTTGACAAAAGCATTGATCTGCACGTGCGCACGTGCGTGCCCCTTTTTCATATCTGGGGATCGGCTGGGCCGATCGCGTTCATATTTGGTGTGCTGAATGACACCATGTACATATGAAGATTGAACAGATCGGCAAAGGCATTGGTCTGCACGTGCGCGCGTGCGTACCCCTTTTTGGCATCTTGGGATCGGCTGGGCCGATAGCGCTCATATTAAGTATGCTGAATTACACCAAGTTTATTTGCAGATTGCACAGGTCAGCAAAAGCATTGATCTGCACGTGCGCACGTGCTCACCCCTTTTTCATATCTGGGGATCCGCTGGGCCGAAAGTGCTTATATCAAGTATGCTGAATGATAACATGCTTATATGTAGAATTCACAAGTCGGCAAAGGTATTGATCGGCACGTGCGCACGTGCGCACCCCTTTTTCATATCTCGGGATCGGCTGGGCCGATAGTGCTCACATTTGGACTTTGGTATGCTGAATGACACCACGCATATAAAGTATGCAGATTGCAAAGGTCAGCGAGAGTATTGGTCGGCACATGCGCACGTGCCCACCCCTTCTCACATGTTGCGATTGATTGGGCTGGTCTGGGTAGCGGGTAGCGGTCTGCTCGTGTGCAAGTGCGGACCTTTCTACTTGAAAAAAAATCGTATCAACTCGCCGACTGATTTTTAGGCATTACTTCATGTAGGTATGCCTTCAGTATGTCACAACCTACTTTGTATCTCTTAAGTGACGTACATAAAATTCATGTTCCGTAATTACATTTCACTCGTTTATTTAAAGATAACATTTCTTTCGTAGGCCTAGCCTAGCCCTAATCATGTAGGCATGTTACAGGTCAAGTTCAAAGTCCACAAAATAAATTCCAATACATAGATTCTCGTGCCACGTCTTTTATGCAGTTCTGAGTCAACTTCGCTGCCCATATTGCCCCTGCTAGACTTGATGCTTGGACGGACACTGCACCGCCTCTTCGCAAGCCAATTGAGCAAACTGTACGATGCGTACGTTGATCTTGCCCATATGGATAGCAGCGATTCACGAGTGTAGAAAATGAACTTCAGCGTTGACCAGCATAGCCATGTTTTCTTGTTTATGCCAAAAAAGGATACAAGATTCTCTGTATAGTATCATGCCCACAATTGTAGTTAATTAACAATGATATGCCTCCATACAATTATAAACCACTATGCAAAAGTGATAGGAATAAATTTAAAAAGAAGAGAGCAAAACCAATTAAAATTCTGACACACCGATATTAAGAAACAGCTCTTAGCTTTAGCCCATTTTTCGATTGTTTAAAAGCAAAACAGTTTTGGCGCACTTGATTCGAAGGACGGCGCTCAACATGGCAATTCCCGGTGCACACCGAATCCGTAACGAATACGGCGTTACGTCGCCAAAAAATCGAACTACGCATGCGCGTTGCATTGTGCCCTCCACTTTCAAGATATTATTTAATCGCCGACGTATTCATTACGGCACGTAACGGTCATTACGGATCCGGTGTGAACCACGCATTAATTAAACGCCGGTGGGTAGAACACTGGACGGAGATACTTGCATTATTTCCTGCATTACAAGAGGGCATGTCTATGCCCGTCAACGCTGAAGTTTATTTCTTGCATTCTTTGCTATTCGTGGGTGATGGGAATACCAACGGACGCCAGAATCTGTATTGTATACCTACCATTTGCTCGATTGGCTTGCCAAGAGTCAATGTGGATTCAAACGTCTGCAAATATCTACAAGTCCAAGTATCAAATTTAGCAAGTAGCAGGGGCAATATGGCCGGTGAAGTTTTTCCCAGACTCCATGAAACTCAGAACTCTGAACTCCACATACAAGACCGGGAGGAGAAGGAGCTCTGCTATAATTGGGAACAATGAGCCCGTTGGAGGGAGGTCTGAATAAAAAAAGATACAAAGTAAGCCGTCAGCGTTACAGGCTGAGGGCATGCTCCCAAGAAATAATAATTCTTGGCTGGTTGCTTCGAGCTAGGGTAAAAGGCCAAAGGGTCCGCACGTGCGCACGAGCAGACCGCTGCCGCCGTCAACATTTGGAAGCTTCTTAACTGCTCGGCGATACCTTAAAGATGCAATCCCAAGCAATCGGAACTTGTCATTAATAAGGGTAAACACGCGTACGTGTGCACTGTGCAGACCAATACGCTCGCTGACCTGTGAAGTCTACTAATATGCATGGTGTTATTCAGCATACTTAATATAAGCTCTATCGGCCCAGCCGATCTGCGGTTATGGAAAAAGGGTGCGCACGTGCGCACGTGCCAGCCTATACCCTCGCTGACCAGTACAATCTGCAGGTCAGCATGGTGTCATTCGGCATACTTAATATGAGCGTTATCGGCCCAGCGGATCCCCAGATATGGACAAGGGGCACGCACGTGCGCACGTGCAAATCAATGTCTTTGCCAACTTGTGCAATCTGCTTATAAACCTGGTGTTATTCAGCATACAAAATATGAGTGCTATCGGCCCAGCCAATCCACAGATATGAAAAAGGGGTACGCACGTGCGCACGTGCAAATCAATGTCTTTGCCAGCCCGTGCAATATGCTTAAAAACATAGTGCTTTTCACCATGCTTAATATGAGCGCTATCGGACTAGCCGATCCCCACATACTAAAAAGGGGTACGCACGTGCGCACGTGCATACTAATGTCTTTGCCAACCTGTGCAATATTCATATTTACATGGTGTCCTCTAGCATACAAAATATGAGCGTTATCGGTCCAGCAGATCCCGAGATATTAAAAAGGGGTGTGCACGTGCGCACGCGCTGAAGGAATTCAAAACTGTTCAAAGTTCACCGGATGTGTAGTGTGCACCCAGCCAAAACAACAAACAAATTTTGAGCTGTATCGCTTCAGCCGTTCCCGAGTTATGAAATGACGAGCTCTTTTGGAACCTCTCACGTCGCACGTGGCACGCGCTGTAACAGGCACTCATGAGTTTTATGGATAGCACAGTTCCATGAAGAAAGGATACATCCCCTCTCCAAAAAAGACCGCTCATCAAACAGTGAAACCGTTTTGGAGATACGTGTCAACAAAAGTCGTTACGGCGGCCGGTCGGGCCGAAAAGTTCAATTTTCCCAACTTCTGTTACGTTCCGTAACGAGTACGGTGGACGCTGCCAGTTTACGGCGGCTGGTTGCCACATTTCAACTTCGTCTAGAAAAGTCGCAATGCTTGGGGAATCTTGAGAAATGTCTAGCTCATTACGGCCGTAACGGTTACGGCGTCATTACGGATCCGGTGTGAACCACGCATAAGTCGACATTGCTAAATCATTCGGCAGTTAAGGACTCGGTCATTCTGTTCCGTCCTACTCTAAAACAACCTGTCACCTCTCACACACTACGTTCCCTCCCTGTCATCCCTCACGGCGTCCTGTCTCACCCCTGAGTTCTCTCAGTGTCTGTGTCATCTCCTGTTGTTTCTCCGGAGACACGTCCTCGCCGAGTAGCTGAATCAGCTTGCCGGCCGTCTTCAGGTCGGCTTCAACGTCGGGCAGCTCCGCCAGCAGCTCCTGAGGAGAGTCAAATGAGAAACGGAAATTATTGATGAATGGTAGACGTGGTACTGTGGAAATGTTTACAGATTATAGGATCTCAACCAGGCACTTCAGCTACATGATTGCCTCGATGGAACAATATTTTGTTCCGATTGAAGGAAATTAGCACGAGTCAAAAGGCATACACATAGTCGGGTAAGATGAAAGCATCCTCATCTGCGCCTCCTATGTCCTTACGTGCCCCCTAATTCTCCCCCTCCCACTTCCCACTCCGTTCCACCCGTCTTTACCTGTGCCTCCCGTCTCCCTCCCCTTCCTTTACCTGCGCCTCCTGCCTCCTGTGCGCCAGCTGCGGCTGTCGACAGTCCAGCGGCGCCGTCAGCAGCGCCTCGGCCGTCTCCGCCCAGCGCCGCGGCCGGGCGGTGGCCTCGCTGAACTCGGCCAGGCGCTGGCGGATCTGGCCGCTCTGCATGTAGCGCTTCACGTGCTGCCGGTCGACATGGTGCTGTTAGATTGGTCACTGAGTCCGGAGCAAGCAAAGTGGGTAGTCAGGCACAGGATGGCAAGTCGGAGAACGGTGCGGATCTGGGACTAATTATTTTCATTACGGTAAAAAGCTTTTGCTGACATGTAAATGGATGAGACGAGCTGCAGTGGGACACTTAAGTACGGAAGAAAAAGAGCACGGCTTATTAACCACCAAACCAAACAATTCCTCATGTCACTTGCTTATCTGCAACGCATGTAATGTAACTCTCAACTCAAAGACCCTAAATTGCAGCAGCTGGAGCCTTACACCGATGGCAAAATAAATGGCACACGACCCTCGCAGGTTACACGTCAGCACAAGTTCACCACGAACCTTGAAGAGCTGCTGCCAGCGTGTCTGCAGCTGCTGTAGGGCGTTCTGCACCTCCGCGGCCACGTCGTCCTGGCAGGCGGCTGTCAGGAACTGGCCAGAGTCCTCTGTCTGCTGGTACCGCTCCGACCAAGATGGAAGGTCCTGCGGGAACGAGAGAGAACACGTCAGACGCTTGACAAACATGACGGTCGGCGTGTCACAGGACACTCAGCAATCATATATGCATTGCAGTGGCACTTATGAAGTCATCAGCCATCAGTGAAATGCGACTGTCGTCATTCGCCAGGTTCGTCAGTACAGGTTCCATACATATTAAGTGGTCTCCCTTGACCCCCCCCCCCCTTCCCCTTCCACCACCACAAACATGCACAACCAAACACACACGCTCCGCCGGTTTCAAAAAAGGACCTAATAAAGAGATGGCGTGATCCAGCTATTATTCCTTAGACTGGTGTCCCATCTCCCTCCCGGTTTAAACTGCCAACTCACCTGGAAAAACTCGAGCTTCTGTTCCTCACTCTGTGTCACCATTGTCTCGGCTGTGTCCATCCACGAGCTGAGAGCCTCACTGCCCTGCGAGAACTTCTTCCAACAGGACAGCACCTGGACGCAAAAATTATCATCCGGTCAGCTTAACGTTATCGCTGCTGTTTTTGCCAGCAGTTACTAAGGGAAGCCAGCTGATATCACGATACGGCAATTAGAGAAATAATCAAAACGATATGATTATGAGACGGAAATTGGCTAAAAATCAGGATTTTTCTACTTGAACTTTACGCCACTCGCGTCAAAACGTCATAAGACATTTTAGTCAAATACCCCGTGTTCACGCGGTACACTCCAGACCGGTGCCTTTTACGGACAAAGAAAACTTAAAGAGAGCGTTGCCCACTAGCCCGTCCGGGAATCTCACCTCCTCGAGCATGGAGCGGAGGCACTGCAGCTCCACAGAGACGGAGCGCCACCGCTCGCCGACCTCGTTGATAAAATGTACCACCACCTCCTTCTCTTGGGGACCTGGCGAGGACAAAGCCACAAAGAGCCAGGTCAAAGGCACTGAGACACGCCTCATTCATGACGGTTCAAACGGTAAGAACCCGTATCGAACACCAAAATGAATAAACATTATAAATAAACAAACAGATGAGCTATATAAACGTCAAGTCTGCGACAGTTGATGGCCGTTGCAGCAGCTGCAAAATAATTATCAGCTTCGAATACTAATGTACAAGCCAGGAAAGGAACATTAGCTAGCCCTTCTCGTATAATTTAACCTGTACGCTTGAGCTAGATCATACCTGCGTCAGACAACTACGCAAGACTAACTTACCGACGCCGCCCTCCTTGACGAACGCGTCTGCCACCTGTTTCATCTCGATGAAGGCCTGCTCGAACTCATGGAACACGTTGCGGTCCGATACGAACGTCTGGTATTCGTGTAGCATCTGCTCGACGCGCGGCTGGTGGCCCAGCTTCACCGTCCAGGCGCGCACCCGGCCCTCCATCAGGATCAGGAACGCGATGATGCAACACTGTGAGGAGAACGGAGATAGTACGTCATACTGAGTTACATGCCAAACAAACACATAAAAAAACATTACTAAGCAAACAAATCTACCAAAAACTAGCAAACAGACACAAATTTTAAACCAGGCAGGATTGAAAGCGCTGCAAATTACCAGATAGCAATTGCCAATTTACAGAGTCACACTGATCCAACAGAAATTTATTGCTGTTTGTGTGTTCAATGAGTACAACATCCATCATCAACCGGCAACTGCCCACCACCAGCGCGGCCCGCGCCCCGTCTCTGCACTGACCCTGTGCTCGAGGTACTTGAGTCGCACCCATCGCCGGTGGGCCTGGCCGCGCACCGCCTTCAGTCGTTTGTCGATGTGCGCCAGCTGCTGCGGCGGCAGCTGGGCGGCTGCCGGCAGCTGCGCACCGCGCCGCAGCTCCGCCTCCACCCGCGGCAGCTCGCCGAAAAATGACTGTCAGAGAGAAAGGATGGCGTCAAAAAATGGAAGGGAGGTCGGAGAGACACTACTATTTCGATAACCACCACCAGCTTTTCCAACAGTCACCGCAGATTAGGGCCCGTGAGCATTCAAAGCCAAAGCACATGTTACAAAATGTTTGTTGGCTCATATACACAAAAACCTCAGCAACATCATGTTTTAGCAGGCGTTTGAGTAAGAAATCAAGCAAATCCTTGGCCACACAAATTGGCATGAATGTTAACGCTAAAATAACTGACTGGCTGCAGTGAACCGGGGAACCGGCCGTACCATGTGCTCCTCGAGGCTGGCGGTGAGCAGTTTGGCGGTGCGCTCATCGGCCTCTGTGGGCGCGTCGTCGCCCGCCTCCAGGAACGTCTCCGCTCCGGTGATCCATTGCACGACCGAGAGCAGAGGCTCGGGCAGCCGAGAGTCCAGGTGGCTCTGCCACTCACTCAGCTGCGGGAAAACACACGCACATTTATGATCAGTTGGCCGAGGAGAGAGGAGTGAGGAACCGCTTCAGTCGCAGGATACATGCACCGAGACACAGTACAGTAAGCCTACGAAATTCCAATTTCACTGTAACTCACACTGTATTCATTTGCATGTCTAATGTTTCTACGTCTAATACGATGCTTAACGCGAACCTCAGAGCACGCTGGTCTACGGAGTCTGCAATAATAGCGATAACTGAAAGCATGTTATGTGTTCATACTTAAAGCATGTATTGTATAACCAGTATAACGCCTTTTGGGGCGATTAACGGAGCGAGCGAGAGGGTGGGCCTTGCACGTGCGAAATTGCGAGGGGGTACCTCCAACTGACTTGTGCACGGCGCCCTACTAACCGGTCTCTAGCGATATGCCAAATTTGAGCACAATCGGCCCAGCCGTTCTCGAGATCTGGAAGCGGCACCCTGCACGTGCGCACGTGCAAAATGGGTCCCAACTGACTTGTGCACGGCACCCTACTAACTGCTCCGTAACCGTGTACCAAATTTGAGCGCAATCGGTCCAGCCGTTCTCGAGATCTGGAATCGACCCCTGCACGTGCGCACGTGCAGCAGCACCCCAACTCTGGCACATGGATATGCATTGCCTAGTGGGTGCCTACCTACATGCCAACTTTCAGCGCAATCGGCCCAGGGGTTACCGAGATATTGCACCTATTACAAAAGTGACACCTCTTCGTTTTGCACGTGGCACGTGCATAAGGGGTCACCCACATGCATCGGGAATAGTCCAATACTTGGTAGAAGGAATGAAGCTACCCTACAAAAATTACCGCATGTAAATCGGTCAAGTGGTTGCTGAGATATAAGCGTCGCAGAATCGTGACCACGGCCGGCCGGCCGGCCGCTCATACTCAGAAATTTCCGTTATTCTACGTAAGACTCCGCTCGCTTCGCTCGCTCCGTAATAAATGCAGTAAATACGTCGAAAAGTCAACACGTCGAAAAGTCAACACCCAGAGAGAAAAAAAAATGATCTGAATATGAGTAAAGTAAGGAGGCCGACTGCCCACTGACCAGTCTCTCCAGGGAGTTCCACTCTTCATCCACTCGCGTCCACACATGTCCGGGCACCTGCAGCCCGAGCGTCTTCAGCTTCTCATAGCGCAGGTAGCGCTCCGACGCGTCATTCTTCACCGATTTAAAGCTCTGTGGGTAAACAATCGGGTAAGTCGATGGCAAAAAAAATATCTAAGCAATATATAAAGCAAACAATAAGAAAGTCACGGAGAGTAAAGCCTACTTGGTGATTGTACAGCTGTAACTAAATACGTTGTAACGCGAGCACTCTTGCAGAAATTATGTCCTAATCACGCCGCTAACAGAATAGTTTTAAAACACCTCGCGAGAGAATAACTCTCTTCCCACCGTCTCTCCCTCCCCCTCCCCTCCAACCCCAAACCACTATCAGCATCAGACAACCGCGTGCCTTAACCTGTCCGGTTGAGGTCAAACAACGTCTACGCACCGGACCCTAAATAAACACCTAGGCTCGGGCTGGTCGGCGCCGGATCTAAAGAGCTGCTCCGCCGCAGCCACTGGTTCAACAAACAAACCACGCGTGGAGTGAATAGCGATGGTAGGGGTGATCGATAATCCCTTTCAACGTCGCCACCGCGTGGGCGAAGTATCATAAAGTGGTCCAGATGAGAGGTCATCCATGAACTCAGTAGAAATTTTCACTCTCACGCAAAGCATTTAGCTATTAGTCAACCATTTGTCAAACCAAATTTGCATTCAACTTTAAAGTACCTAACCCACTGAAGATTTCCGGTGGATGAATTTTTCTTCCGTTCTCCTCAGTTTCCAGCAGCACCCACGAGTGACAGGGGCTACCCCAATCTGCCTCAGCCTCATCCGCCATGGGCCCGCCGTCACACTCACCATAAAGTCATCCTGCTGGGGCGGCCGGAGCGCTGAGAGCGCCTGTCGCGTCATGGCCACCCAGTCGGCTATCTCGTTCACCTCCTGGCCCGGGGAGCGCGCCGCGCCGGTCGCCGGCTGAAAACAGCACACACAAAGGGTGACAGAGGGAACAGAATAGTATGAGTATGAACAGAACAGAGCATGAGGAGCACGGCACGAAGGACGCTTGACAAGATTGTCGTAAGATCTAAATCGATCGGCGCAAGTGAATCAATACATAACGCGGTTAGACAGCTGCTGAAAAGGCGCCCTGGCGAGCTGATATTCACGGTCCTCTGCACTTACGATAAAACGTTCAGTCTCTCGACACGTTTACCAAGAAATACCGAGGAAATACATTATCCACAAGCCAGAGAAACAACCCAACTAAAGCTCCTCTCATGCGATCAATAATAATTCAATGCCTGCCTGAGCCTATTATGGCCCATTCGTTCAACATTCCTAATCAACCGAACTGATCTGGAAGGGAAGGGGATGGGTGGAAGATGCGGCGAACGTCACACATACCTGCGCCACGGCCTTGGGGTCGGGGTACTTGTGCAGGAACTGCGCCACGTAGGTCATGATGGACTTCTCGTCCGGGTCCCGCACGTTCACGTCCTCGGCATCGAGCAGGCGCGCAATGCCCAGATCCTCCTCAGCTACCTGGGGACGACAACAGGGTCGAGTCGGGTCAACAGTCTCCTTACGGTGCCTTACTGTCGATTTTGTTTTTTCATGTGTAAATCTAACCATATCCAATGATTGCCCTCGGCGTCACCAGAAGGCACCGCTCACCGCAGCATCCCACCTCAGTTCCCAGGTCTGTGGTCACCGGTCACGACCCGGGGGCGGCTGACAGCGCGATCCGCCGCCCGGGGTCGGCGGGAGCCCGGCCACAAATCAGAGCAGCGCCGTCCGTGGCCCGGCCAACTCCGCCGATAGAGCGCCAACAATGTGGCGGACATCTCTGCCACATCCTCCCCTCCCTCAGCCCCACGAGAGGGTCGTCGCCGCGCCCACGCCCGGCACCAGGTGGTCACTCGGTGGTTAAAGGGTCACTGAGTACAGTTTGTGCGGCGTAAAGACAGACAAGTGACGACAGCGGGTTCAGACGATATGCGGCCAAAACACACAACACAGCCGTAAGGGTAAGGTGTCCCTCGTTGCAGGTGTATAAATCTAATGCAATTTCAAGAGCACGAGAATCGGGGGCATGAAACATATCGTCCCGACAGTGACTAATTTTAAAAGCGTCGTAGCAAATGCAGCGATGCATCCCAAGGCCCAATCTGACAATTTGCAGAGACCTGTTGCGCAACAACCCCATTTAAATGGCGCTGTCGCAACACTGCGCCGTTGACATTTAAAAGAATCGTGCTACATTTAAAGATATAACTGCGCCGTACCTTGAACACTTTGTCGAGTCGTTCCTGAGTGGCCATCCGTTCGGTGGCGTTCACATCGATACAGGTGGGGTTAATACAGTGGACGATGGCCACAAACGCCTTTCCGTCCCGCCACGAGCTGCCGAAGTCGTTTATGTCGATACCATACGATCTGCAACAAACAAACCGAAAGGCCTGTTAGGTCGAGGTCATAAAGCATGCACAAATAACCAAAAATAACACCTGTATCACTATCACCTGCTTGTTCCGTCGTGGGACATCCAAGTGCCAATCCTTCTGCACACCCCATACCTCGCACCCTGGCTTCTTGGCTACCGTCGACCTCAGTCCCCAGGCCGGTGAGGACAGCCCTGGTCGCCACTTCAAGCCTTGCGGTGGATCACAGCTGCCGCCCAGGACCCGACGACGCACACATCACACACACGCGCGGTACTCCAGGGACACCCGCTGGATGTGCGAGTGACTAGCCGTGGATTGACACGGGCCAGCCCGTGCCGCCACACGACATAGCCCTCGGCCAGCACAGACGGGAAGAGCGACAATAGAGCCAGAGCCCCTTCCCGCACAAAGGCGAAAATCGATCGCACAATATTACCAGTAGGCTAATGGTGATACCATGGCATCCATAGCCGTTGACCTAGCTGCCTCGAATATCCGAGACCAGACACACTTGAAACATTTCAAGCATTCTAAAAACGCGTCACACCTGAATATCCAACAAAAGCAAATGAAAATCAAAATTAAACTTAGTGAGTGCCCCTTTATTAGAAAACGTCCTGACCCAATCCAGGGCAAGTCTGTTGGCTTCGACATATCATCAAGCCGTTCTACGTCCGTAGATGTGCCACCCTTCCATACCTGGTGGCGGTGCGCGCCCAGTTGAGCAGAGTGCGCCGCGCGCCGCCGCGGGCCGCCGGACTGGCCTGGGCGCCGGCCGATGGCGCCGTCCCGGTCGGCGTGGCTGTCGCAGAGCGCGCCTCCTGACCGGTGACGCTGCTGCGACGAGCCAGCTGCTCCAGCACGCGGGTGTTCTCCTCAATCTGGTCGCGGAGAGAGACACGGGTTAGAGACGGGGAGATAGGGCGTCAGATACGGGTACAGAGGGGTCAGGGACAGGGAAATAGGGGCCCATAGACAGAAATAGAGGGTGTATGGGACAGAAAAAGAGGGGTCAGAGGTAGGGAGATATTGTACAATCTCGTAATCAGGCTCAGGCGTCATGTGAAGATAGAGAGTGGCTCAATCACATGGTAAGTGGTCGCTACTGAGACCTAATACTTCACGCTGGCTCCAGGTTGAGACGAGGCGCGATTTCGTCGTTAATACGACTTCACGGATTCAGGAAGCCCCACCGTGTCCGCAGGTAATCCACCACGTGGTCTGTGGCCCTGACCGCCTGAGCCGTGCCATCCATCATTGGTCGCTCCCTCCACCCCCCCCCCCCACCCCTCCGCCCTACACGCCCAGTCGTGCGGCCGCCCGCAGTCGGCAGCTTACGGCGGTGGCTGGAGAATACTTCCTGTGACCTCCTACAGATGAGATCATACAGCCAGCAACTGTACACATCTTTTCAGTGGTCTCTGATATTCACAGCACGCATGAAATGGCCGAATTTGATGCAGTATTGATTCTCCAAACGCAGTCCTTCGCAGACTACTTCGCCCTGTTTTATGACACCCAATGGGACGCACGGCGGCAGATAATAGAAATCACACGGGACGGCTCCAATATACGGCTCAATGCTCAGTGCCAGCCGGCTATCTACCGCCGTATCACACCTCAAATAGACGCACCAGCACAATACACAGACGCCCGTGTCACCGGGCCGGCGCTCTGCCGCGCTCTATTTCCGCCCTACGCACAAAAACTGAAAGGAATGCCGACAAAGCCGGCTGGGTTCCGGACGTGGCCGTCGATAAAATGCTTCACCCGTGCATAACACCCAACTGAGGTTACCAAACTTCATTCACTGAAATGTTTGAAATTGTACTTGAACCGGCACCTAAAACCTGTATTAGAATTTGTAAAGAAAAAAAATAACAAAATAAAATAAAATACAAGGCCCAGCTGCGTTTCGGTGAGCAGAATTGCTTCTTAGAGATGGATGGAGTCAACCGGTTTGAACAGACTAACGCTATGTTTGACACAGCAGCCCGAGCGGTTGACAGCGACAGACTATAAATCCGTCACGCAGACGGATGCCGCACAAGCGGGCTAAGGGACACGCACAGTAGATCACCGGGCTGCGAGGTGAGTCACCCCCCCCCCCCCCCCAACGTTCGATGTTCCCCGATCGTAAATAGCTGCAGTCTGCTCCAAGTTCGCTAGGTCTACGTCCTACGACCTCGTTACGTTCACATCGTTACCTTGAGATATCACCTTCCCTCCTCTCCGGAATCGATGTCTTGTCGCCGTCTCTGAGCAGATTCGCACCTCATTAGTGGCATTATAGGGTTTCCATCCAACGGCCTTAGAGGAAACGCTACACCGCATCGGCGTAGCCTGAAGTAGACTAGTTACAAGGTCGTGACAGGTCCCTCGACTCGAGTCACACGGAAGGTGCCCGGGGGGCCTGACCACTCCGCCTGCAGGGTTTACACCGCGACAACGGCGCATTAGCGGTTCACACTGTTCGTAAACAAACGGCTCGTTTACGTCCTATTTCCGCCCATATGACAGAAATAGACTACCTTTGCACCACCAGCCGCGCGAAGTTTCATAAAGTTTCTGCCGTAAATAACCTTCGCTGAGTCGTAAATAAAGCTCGGCCCTAGCGGCAACAGGACTTGGATGAAAATGATGGCCCTGAAGTCCACAAGAACCTTGTTAACTAATATGCAGCACACAACCGTAGGAATTCATTGAAAGAGTGAAATGGATGTCTTTCATTCTACCATAATGAAGCAATGTAAGCCGAAACCTTGCGTTTTTACATACAGCAAAAGCATCATTTGTGCTCAAGAATACCACTGTTAGGTTGAGGGTGCATTTCAAACATCGCTGTCAAATGTCCGCATTATTTCATGCTGCAGACATTCTAATCCCGAAGTAGCTATTCAGAGCTTACCGCATACTGCAGACAGGAATGAAATACTACTGCTTCTACGCATACAAGTGAGCGAACCTAATCCACGTGTATGCTTTTGAAGTAGGATTTCGTTGTCTGCTCAAGGTCTAAGAGCGCCACATGGCAGCGAAATTGCTGACCCGGAAATAGTATTCACTCACCTATAGTGTTTTCTCTCGTAGAAATGGTGTTTTCTCACCTGGAAATAGTGCTCGCTTACCTGAAAGTAGTGTTTTCTTTTCTAGAAATCGTATTGGCTCACCTCGGAATAGTATTATTCGCTCACATGGAAACAGTGTTTCTCTCACCTGGAAATAGAGTATCACGGTCCAGATGAGTCCGAGCACCACGGCCGGCCGGCCATCCACGATGTCCGACGGATTGATATTGACTAGCTTTATCTGCCGGAACAACAGTAAACATCGGTTAGGAGCACGGCTCGCCACACTGCGCAACACAGCACGGGACGAGACGTGAGGATGAACAAGTTTGCGTGCGGCATTAAAGTTGCTGTTAAAAAGAAATAGCATTGCCAGCATAAATGAATCCCTCTTCGATGCACTTAGCCGATGCAAAGCAATACGATCTCCTTTTGCGATCTAAATATCCAATTCAAATCAATACCCTTCCGATGATTCTGACATCGCACGTCATCCGCCACTTAGTTCAATCGATGTCGGAAGGACATCGGTGACGAGTGGTCCACTCCGAGGCACGGCACAATGCCAGCCAGCGGGAGGGCCCTCAGGACAGCTCTGACAGCGCCGGCAGGTTCAGCGCGATGGGGCGGTCAGAAGAGCGGGCGGGCGCCACACTCACTGCGGCGTGGCAGTGCAAGTGGCTTTTGAAATGGGCGCGGTGCACCAATTGAAAAGGGAACTAACAGGAACAAATGACGTTCGTGGAAGCACTTACTAAAATGAGTTCACGAGAGCAGGTGTTCGCAGCGAAATGTGAAGCACCATTGAAATTACGGGAAATTATTAAGTACCCACTTGTCAGCTTTCAAACAAGTTTTGGCTAGCCGCTGAATTCATTTTAACAATGAATCAACCATGACTGAAACGAAATGAATCAATAAGTTGAACGAACGACTCCCGTACAGTTGGACTGAGTTGGACGACTCCGATGAGCCAGCTGAGCCCGGGAGCCTCGTGACACGCCACCCATGGCGTCGCCGCGCCGGGTCGGCCGAAGCCCCGGTGAACTCCCCGCTCCCACCCTACCGCTCAATACGGTCACTGTCTGACTGCCCGCGGGCTGCCGGGGCACGGGAGGTCGTGACCTCTGCACAGGACAGACAGCCGAGCGTCGGTGGGAGGGTCGATGGGTGGGACGGCTAGGAAGCTGTAGGTTTCTCGTTCGACGGAAACGATTGTCGGTCGAGGCAGTTTCAATTACCTTGGTATACATATGCAAAACTTGTACTTGTATACACTTTTGCCTGTAGATAATCGCGGTGTAAAATACTTTTGAAACTACCTGTTTTATCAGCTAGGTAAAAAATGACAATGGAAAAAGTAAGCTGGTTTCATGAATCTATAACTCTTTTTTTAGACACACTGAAAAGGAATGTTCATTCGATGTTGAGGACGGCTCGCAGCAAATTTACCGACCATCCCAGCTGAATTGTACGGCAATCTCCCGATCGCACCAGCTGAGGAGCTCCAGATCCCGATTTCCCGAGCGGCAGCCGATATCGAACGACTGGCGCCGAGAGCGACTGACAGCTGGTTTAGACTGAGCTTGGGCAACTAACCGACCGACATCAGAGAGTGAATAGCGGCAATCTTAGTCAGCATTAAATGACCAGCCTAAAGAGGTTGGGGCAATGCAACATTGATAAAACAAGCCGTTGCGCACTGCATAGTGCATGCATAGTCAATACGTGTGTCATTTCCTTTACAGGTTCACCAAATGTCAAATGCCCACCTACCATAGCGAATGATATATGTTTCTGACAGATGAAATACAGCAGCCAACAACACCGCTCAGAACAGACAACACTCATCAGAGCAGGTGACTGAGTGACAGGAATGGCAGCGTGACAGGAATATGACGGAGCTGTCTGAAGGTGACACAATGACACATGTCAGGGCGGCGGGATATGCAGCTGGTGTCACGGCAGAAGGCGGGGGCGGGGGCGGGGCGAGGTCAGCTGTGGGCAGGAGTAGGTGGGTTCTCCCAGACCAGGTAAACAGGCCAGAGAGCCCATCAAATATACTCTCCGCGCAGCGAAAAGCAGCAACTGCACGCACGTCAGTGGCTACTTCACGGTAAAGTACCCTCTCTCCGCGGTGAAGCATCCTCCCCAAAGTATAGAGGTCAAATGGTCGACCATCAAATTTAATGGCCCAATCCAATGCCTACCCGTAACCTCTGAAAAGTTCTATTTGTAGCAGGAAATGCCGATGAAGAGCCGGGGAAATGGCGAGCAGCTAAAGAATGTGAAATGGTAAAAATACTACGGCCGTCAATAAACCGCATGAGAACGCAGTAGAATTGCAGCTGATTATCGAAGAGCTCACTTGTAAGCTTGGTGTGGTTATCACAATGATATGTTTCACGATATGGGAGAACTTTTTAGACTTCTTCAAAGCATTGTGCCTGAATCGTGCTGGAACCTGGGCATGATGCACCAGCCCCGCTAAGGAGAGGCCGGAGCAGCATGCCGATGCTGCTGATGGACTGCCCCGCACACCAGGGGCCTCGGACCCGCCGGTGGGTCCCCCTGCCGACGCTGGGGGAGATATTCTCCACCGAAGCTGACCTCATCGTAGACTTCCTGGTGGAGACGGGCCGGGCCCCGCGGGACCCGGCCTAAGCTGGCAAGGAAGAAGAAGAAGCAGCATGCCGCCAGCATAAATTGGCTCCAATCGAACGGCGGACGGGGCGAGAGATGAAATGGCCTCATCACGCTGACAAAGGCTGACGCACAAAATCCCACCCTGGGCGCACACTGACAGCGCCCGCTTCACTCGGATGACGACCAAACAAACCCAGCATAAAAAGATGACGTCCAGCCCAGTGTTGACAAATCAAACACAGCGCGCCAATCGTCGCCACTTTAGTGTCGGGAAATCATCAAAAGATTCACAGGCCGCGCATAGAGGTCACAGCGGGGGCGGCGGTCGTGCGGGGGCGGCGCTCGCCGGGCCGGGCCGGGCTCAGAGCTCCGACCCGCCGCCGGGCGCGGTCGGTCGGTCGACCCGGTGGTCCCGTTCCGGTGCGGTTCTCGGTACGACGCTCTGTCGTTCCGGGAACCGCCGTCTGATGTGTTCCCGACCGTGTACCGATTACGGCCGCACACAGACAGACTCACGTTTTTACTGTGCAGAAACTGGAGCGCCGTGTTGGCGTTACTCAGGAAGTGGGCCCGCTTCAGTATCCTTCCGCGCTCCACGGGCTGGAAACGGCGCAGAAGTTAGAACGGTGACACACGCAAAGTTGGACAAAACACACCCAGCCAACTTTCAACAAAAGAAACTCTCCTTAACAACCGGCATTATCTAATGGCGAGTTTAGGCATCTTTGCTACGTTTTCTTACATTTAGCACTGACGTGTTACCAGGACAGATCAGAAGTCGCGGTCCCACTGCCAAAAGCAGCGGCCCGATCACCTCACCGCCCGAAATAGGCACCGTCCGCGCCAGTTGGGAGGCTATTTAGGCCCATCCACCACCACCCCCCCCCCTAACCCCCTCCCCCTCCGCGCCCCGGTCCGCTTCGACGCCCGTCAACGGATGACGCCTCGATGGCGCCAAATTAGCGCCCCCTCCATTCTCGAGCTTTTTGCAGGCCCAGACCATTCACCGTTGCCAAGGAACACTCGGCGGCCCTCCCAGCCCTGACGCCCACCTGGCCTTACCTCACCAGCCGCTCACGTGGCGGGCGCGGCCGGTCACTTACCAGTTTCTGTCCGGAGAGCACCTGTAGTAGCGCCAGCAGCCGCGAGCCGTCCTTCAGGTCCTCTATCAAACTGTGCATCTGCATCGGCGGCTGATGCTGTGGAGAAAAACGGGAGATTGATGTCAGAAGGCTGAGTGAATGAGTGAGTGAGTGAGTGAGTGAGTGAGTGAGTGAGTGAGTGAGTGAGTGAGTGAGTGAGTGAGTGAGTGAGTGAGTGAATGAATGAGTGAGTGAGCGAAAAGGTTGTGAACTTGGCACAAGTCTCAAATGCACACCAGAAAGGTTAGTACCGTATTGTCTGACCCCCGAAAAGCCCGGAGAATGCGGAGCTAACCACGAAGAAAGATTCTTCACAAGAAAAATAAGAATAGATCAAAGAAGAGAGCAGGACAGTAAAGTTCAGCGATGCGGAAGCGGAAGCCTTCAAACAAACTCCGCATCGTCTGTCCCCTCCCGACGCAGTAGTCAGTTCAGCCAAATCGGTCACCAAAATCATGTCAGAGGGCCATGCATGGTTGGGAGGCGGTCCATCCACAGAAGCAGACCGTCAGGATTGGATCGACCGTCCCGGAAACTAAGACGTTTTGGAAGGTGCGACACAGCGGCAGTTCGCTCCAGGACACAATGCCGTCGGCTATTTGTAGCATGGCCAGTGGCCACAGGCACTGAGTTCCATGACTGACTGCAGAAACGCAACACCGTTAGGCATTAACCAAGGGAGAATAGACGGACAGCGTGCGTGGGACAGACGTCACAGTTCAAACTGATACGCATCAAGGCATCGGTGCAGCTTCGATCGCAGACCGGCCCCCACTCAAGATCAGTCTGCCATTTTCGCCTATTCACAAATTAGAAAGTGGAGCAACCTTTGGCTTTTCAGGTGTGTCAAAGACAAACCACTTGTGACAATCCTCTCCTTGACCCATGGAGTGGCCCAAGGGTCCATCCTAGGGCCCATCCTCTTCCTTGTCTTCATCAACGATCTCCCTTGCTTCCTTCCTCATGGCCGCATCCTATCCTACGCCGATGATACCCAGATCCTTGACCACTCCCCTCCTGACGTCACCGGGTTATCTGCTCTGAAGGCACGGGTCGAGGTTTCCCTGAACGAGCTTAAAAATTGGTTCTCTGCGAACAGTCTGAAAATGAATGCTGACAAAACTCACTTCATCTTGCTTGGTACCAGAGATTCCATAAAAAAGACAGCCAACTTCCATATCGACTTCTCTGGCTCAAAAATCACCCCCAGTCCGACCGTTACAGTTCTGGGCGTTGTTCTCGACCAGTGCCTCTCATGGGAATCCCACATTTCCATGGTTGTGCAGAGATGCAATCACATCACAGCATCCCTACACAAAATCCGTCACTTTCTTTCCAGAGACATCCTGAAACTCCTCGTCCAGCATCACATATTTCCCCACATCCAATACTGCCTATCCGTTTGGGGAGGAGCTGCCAAGGTCCACATGCACCGTATCCAGAAATGTATAAATTTCGCAGCGAGATTGGTCACTGGTGTACGACGCCACGAGCACATCGCACCAGCCCTTGAATCACTAGGATGGGGCAGAGTGCACGACTGGGTGAGGGATCATGACTGCATGCACGTGTACAGAGCGCTTAACTCCACGGTCTGTCCCGAGTCGCTCCGTGCAATGTTTGTCCCTCGAGGGAGTGTGTCCGAGCGGATGACGCGAGCGGTAACGGCGGGACTTCTAGAGCTGCCAAAGGGACGCCTCGCTCGGTCTCAGCACTGTTTTTGTTACCGGGCTGCCAGTGCATGGAACAAATTGGATTCACAGACAAGACAAGCGCCTAGCCGCGCTGCCTTTACCAGAGCTTTGTCGCGTGCCCCTCGTCAGTGAATCACTTTTATATATTTCCACGCTTTTAACTTTATTTGCGCAGCACTCTATACTCAACTTTTTACCCTTCATCGCATTCATCCTCAGCTATTCGCAGCTTACGTGTCATGATAAAATGCATATATGTGTGCCTGAGCGGTGGGTGTCAATTTTAATGCTGTATTATGTTCCATTGACTGGACACATAATAACCACATCGTGGACGTGTCTTTAATAAATGACTTTGACTTTGACTTTGACTTGTTGTTGTGCATTCTACTAGAAAACAATTAGAGGGCATAATGAATACTGTCGTCAACAAAGCGAGCAATAAATTGCCACTTACACATTTCAACTTACCAGGACATTATGAAACGTTTGAGTTGTTATTTAGTACCACCGCAGTGCTCATTTACTACTCAACGAGGCCCCACTATTGTCGAGGGGTGTTGCCCGACCCTCATTACATTATACAATCCGATGCATATCGCTGCATTAATGTACGGTCCGCACGCCAGCGCGCCACCGGACTCCATCGGTCGTGACTCCTGTCACCACCCCAACAGCTCCCTCTCTACTGCAGCGCCGCCGGGGTGGGTCAGCTAGTCCCGGCCCAAAGTGGTCAGGGGTTGACTCGCTTGGCCTAGCAGTGCGTCGCTGACAGCACAGGGACCGACAGTCGCCGCTGGGCAGGGGGCTCCGAACTGGGGCGGCGAGCGGGTCGACTATTGGTTGGTGGTCAGGGGCCAGCGCAATGTCACAACGCGGCAGGCGCCGTCGACGGAACCTGACCGAGGGTCTGCGGAGCGACAGGCGACAGCGGAACACGACCTGGTTTTTCACAGTGCCAATGTCACAAGTCAGGTTATCCATCACGAGAAATATTTTCAACTAATGCTGACACCTGAACGGTCACCACGCATGGTATCAATAAGAACTTGGTTCATTGTTTATTGGGCGATACATCTTTCACCCCCAGGCTACAGCTCAGGCATACTTTGTCAGGACCCGGTGTCTGATCTATCTAAAGGGGATCACCGTTTATTCTGGCGACCTTTTGGTTCTGAGTTCCCGTGACTACATCACGTTTACCCCCGTGACGCTTCAATCATATTGCTTCAAGCTGCATCACACTGCATCACCCTGCATCACCCTGCATCACACTGCGACACACTGTGACATGTGTCATCTATCGCATGCAACATCAGTGCGACGCTGGTCGGTCGATGTCACATGGGAAATCAAACAGACGGGGCGAGGGACGGCGGGAAGGGCGTCCACCTCCAACTCAATATTGCATACCGCCCTGTCCGCGGGCGGGTAGTATGTTGTGGCGTGGACTCAGCGGAATGACATCCACTCCTAGACTTCCGGGAAATGAGAAAGAAGCGTAGGGGTCAGTGTGATCCGCTCACGCTGCGGCACACAACTGAAACTGATGGAGGGTATGTGGTTGAAAAAAAGAGTTAAAAACCACCACATCAGCAGCAGAAGACAACAATTTTAGAAAAGCTGCCATAGCTTGGGCTTCAGGTTAGGTAACGAAGCCCAACACAGGGTTTGCTGCGTTGCAATTCAGGTAGGTACTACATTAGAACTGGCGGTCCTGCATTTGCGAGCAGCACAGAATCCGCGGGCCTAAAATATGCATCATTGGTAGGTACCGTGCAGTAAATGATTTAGTAGGCAGAAGGCCCTGTGAAATTAGTTATAATCTGAGACTGAATTGGTCCAAACTTTGCCAAACAAACGGCGTGTTTGCATTGGTTGTGAAATGTACTGTGTGATAACGAGTTGAGTATAGGTTGGAAACTACGAATCTCACCATTTACATAGCACGCTGCACACAATGCACATGGCTGCGACGGTAGCGCTGTGGCGACCGCAGGGCCAGCCCACTCCCACGGAGGTCGCGATCCCGGCATTCCTGGCATTCGGTATCGCGGACAGCCCAGGCCGGGTCGTGCCCTTCCCTGACGCCACACCACTCTGGGAATCAGTCTCAGCCAGTCCCTGACCTCGGCGGCCACTGAAGCCCCGCGGTTTAACACGGGACGGGGATGTGGTGTGACATTGACCGGCCCGAGGAAGCCCACCGACCACTGACTGGGAGAGCAGACCAGACGGCGCCATCGGCTGGCCGGCGGGCGCTGCGTCCGTTGACCGTCGCTGGTCGTCTGACGTTTATGATCGGTCAGCCGTCGCCCACCTACCGCCGCCCACCGGCCACTGGTAAACGGTCAGACTATCGACCATCGACCATCGACCATTGACCATTGACCATCGACCATCGACTATCGGTCATCGCCAACCGCCCGCCAGCTACCGCCCACTGCCCGCCAGCTACCGCCCACTGCCCATCGTCCGCCACACGGTAGCAGCTATCAGAAATAGCTCTGCCGACACGGTCGAACAGGCACTGATGGATGTAAGGAGCCGGATGATCGGCCGCAGCACTGGGGTAGAGCAGAGCATGGGCGAAAATGAACCGGAAACAAGCTGCTGGAAAACAGGCTGAGTGGAAAATCTGGGGGAAACCGTATGAGACTTCAGCCTGACGCCACTCCAAGTCAAGTCCAGTCAAGATCATTATTCTTGGGAGATCATATCAAGATTGAGGTTGAATTACAGTTGATAGCGTGGTAAACGGCATTCTCGACGGTGACATGTCAGTCATCGTGGACCAAGGTCTCCAACTATGTATGTACAGCCCTCAGCAGACTGCGTGGTAGGCATTCTTTTTTTCGATAAAACCGATAATAACTCAAAGGCTATGCTATCAGTCGGTCGGAACTCACTACAAATAGATGCGCCTTGCTCCACTCCTTCGACTGGGTCTATCATTAAACAAATTACACGCCTTGTGTGCAACACAATGCAAAAGTTTGTTTTGAGGGCAAATTTTAACTTTTGGGTTTTGTTGCCAATCTGGATGGAAAATGAATATTATGATAATGCCAGTATAAGGTTCGGAGTCTCGCGCGTCTTGCTGTTACGATTTCCGAATGACCGATAGCATAGTATTCGCGCTATTCTCGGTTTTGTTGAAAAAAGATATACCTACCACACAGTTTGCAAAGGGCTGTACATCAAGGAGCGTGGAGCGTGGTCTGACAGTCAGGATAGACCGTGGTCTGCGAACGCAGCTGTCACTCACCACGGACCGTGAGCTCCGACCAATGTCATTCATCAAAGACCAATATCCGTGTCCCTCGGTCGGGGGTCGCCGTCATTCAGCACAGACCGTCGTCTGAGGCTCATGTCAGTCATCACAGACCACACTCCTTGACTGCTGCGAGCACAGATCGGCCGCTGTCAGTCATCACAGACCACGGTCTCTGACCAGTCTGTCTGTCCCCCCGGCCCGGCCGCCGGCAGTCGGTGTCGGGCGTCGCGCCAGCCTGCAGCTGACGGCCCACCGCCGCCGCCGTCCATCAGACCGGTCAGCTGACCGCCGGGCCGCCGACCAACTCGGGAACCGTCCCGTCGCAGCCGACGGCAGTGTCGGTGACGGCAGTAACCGTCAGAAGTTGGACTGTCAGGGTGGAGAGTGACACATTCCAGAACGGGATCATTTCAAAGTTAGCCGCGATAAGGATGAGCACGAATGCAAATGCCCTAAAAGGCGAAGTCATTGATTAGATTGCGTTTAGGGTCGAGTCCGTCAGGTCGAAACGGTTTCGCTCCTGGGCAATGGGCATGTGATCAGAACGACCAAAATGGGTCAACTCGGGCCAGGCCCATTCCGATCAGGCCGGCTGTGAGGTCCGAGGTCAGGTCGGATTGAGATAGACCGACTTGAATCCGGTTGACTCGGGATCAGGTTCGGGTCAAAACAGGTGTCATCAGGTCGGGTCGGCTCGGATCAGGCCACCTCAGCCAAGGTCAAACTCGAGGGTGTGTCACGTCACCTATCCCGGCACTGATGACGGAGCGGTCGTCTCATCACAAAGGCAGCCGCCGGCCGACCGCCGCGAAATGGGCGGAAAGAGGCGGTGCGCCACTAATGCCTCGTTTGTGTCCCGACGGCCTCCTCTCTGCTGATGGATGGAGCGGGCCCGGCCCAGGCGACTTTTGAAGTGGTTCGCATATGAACGCTGCCTCCATATGGGCACACGCGAATAACAATTTCGTCACGACGAAAGCTCCAAATTTTGGATAGAAATTCATCATAGCGAAATAATTGTTAGTGCCAGTACCCAGTACTGTTCCAGCACAGCGCAACCGAAAAACACGTGAGCTTATAACAGGATGAATGCTTGGATTAGGCTGCACGTTGATGTTGTCGTGCTAGAGTGGCATTGAAACACTAATGTAACGCTATCCGCATTTGCTATTTCGTGGACTTTCGAGTCGCTAAATGATCTATCTAGCCGATAGCATATCTTGTCGATTGACAGCTCAATGTTTCACTTAAAAACGTAGTTGAAAATGGGGAGATCGTGCTGATCGCCGATCATTGTTCCGTAGTTAATCCCGCATTGACCGGCCGTCGTTAACGTTAATCCGATGATGGCCGCCCGGGTAGGTCGGAATCGCTGGGTGGCCGGCACCGGTCAGTTTCTGACCAGCGGCCGCCCCTCGATCACCTCCCTGATCACCGAGCGATCAATCAGGCGTGATAAATACACGCACGGTCTCCCAAAACAGCAGCCAACTTATGAGCGGCTCCGGCGTCTGGCACCGGCCATCGCTCAAAATCCTCACTTGAGGGTTCTCTCGTCCGTCAGCTGGGCGAGCGATCGGCAGAATTTCACTGAGTTCAGACAGATTATCACCCAGGGAACCTGTTGCATGCTATCATTATTGACCAGCCATAGATCATCTTCAAGAAAAACACAAGTTCAGTGGCATCTCTCAGCGCCAATCGGGCACCCAATCATTTTTCAATTCATTCATTCTTAAATGCATTCCAACCGCCAACACTGACTCGCGGCATGATACTGTAGACCAGCTAGCAACATCTACACAACCGTGACCGGCGGCATCACCTAGCGGCCTTCGAACCCACGGGTCCAGTCAACAGTCCCGGAAGGAACAGGGTCGCTCCAGTGCTGGAGGAGAGGGCGGAGTCCGTCCCACACCCGGTAACAATTAGTCAGGGATGGGCGGTACGAACCGACATGTAGCTCCCTGCGTGTGCCGCCGCGTGTCGCTGACAAAATGCAGCACGACTTTCATTTGTCTAAGCTGTCACGGACCACCCAGAAGAAAACATGAATGGAGACGGAGCGGACCGAGGACTCGTCACTACAGCGTATGTCGTCGCCCCTCACCTTTCTCAGGTACGAGTTGATCCAGTTCAAAAACGTCTTCTTCTGCACGCGTTCCTGTTCATCTGAAAAGACAAAGTGAGACAAGTCAGGCGACACAGCAGCTGTGGCAGTGCAACGAAAATGTTGGGCTTCCAGCGTGAAAGCATTTCTGAGGAAAGGGACCGACCACTCCTGATCACATGGTTGGTTAAATGTGATTGCAATGTTGGTTTTGGAGCGCTCGCTCCAAGGACGTCAAGAGTGACACGGGGTGCTGAATGATGTCTACATTGCAGGCGGTCCTCTGTTTTTATCGATGGTGACGACAGCACCAACCTGCCTATGTTGATCTTATCGTCGTTTGAATTGCTGTCAAATCTTTGGCAGCGGCACCGTTTTCAGAGCAGCAAACAACACAAAAACCCGCAAACGGGGCCAAGAGCAAGTCAATTGCCATTCCAAACAAACGGAGCAAAAACATGACAAAAACCAGACCTCACACGCCTCACTTCCCGGCTGCCACAGGCAAGGCGCCACAGGGGGCAGAAGCTGTGAATGGGTACACAGGCAGAGCGCACCCAAACTTTGTTACTTTGGTTATTTTGTTACTGGTATTTAGCTTTGCAATTGTTAACTTGGTATTTGACACTTGGGTAAGTGTTCGCCACCTCATCGTCGTTAGCCAAGTTCGGGTCAGGGCCTCAGCGAGGTTAAAGCCGGCTTTTGACTAAAGACCACATTCGTTAAATCTGGATGCGAGTCACAGTTTCAATAACCTTCCCACCTCTTCACAAACCGCCCTCACTCCCTTCCGTCTGCGGTTCTGTTCGCGACCCACCGTGTCTTCGGTACAGCACGGCTCGACACGCCTCGATACAGTTCGACTCAGTTCGACTCGGCACGGCTCGATACAGTTCGACTCGGCTCGATACAGTTCGACTCGGTTCGATACAAGCCGCCGCCGCTCGACACTGTACAAACAGCTGACGTCTGTACCGGCAGCCCGCCGCACGCACAGACGACAGCCCACCACGCACACAGTCGGCACCTCTGGAACCGAATGCGTTCGACTTCGGCGCTTCACTGTCCGCATGGTAAAACGGTCATTTCTATGTAGACAGTCGACAGATCACAACTCTCCCCCAGTGTGAATTGAAGTCCACGTTCTACTGGACAATGCAGTCCTTCCAGTCGATAACAAGCCTGCAGTCTTCAGGGGCAGCACCTACCGGCCTGGGTCAGCCACCCTGCCCGGCGGCCATTTCGGTAGGTCAGTCTTCGGCCCGTGCCTCCCATCTGTCTCCCGTTGGCCCGACGCCAGCGACCACTGCCACCGCGTGGGATCGGCACGGCCGGTGTTCGAGCGAAAACAGCCGAGCAGTGGACAGACGAGATCGGGCTGATGATGTTCGGAATTTTTAGTGTGTTGCTGTTGTTGTTGCTTTTGTTGTTGCATGGCTTTGAAATAATCCGATAACTTGCAGCAGTTATGGTCCGCCGACCTCGTATTGATGGAAACCGAACACCAGGAGCGCGTTGTTTACAGCACGGCATTACGGTACTCGCAAAAGAAACGGTATAATATCAAATCAACATTGGCATCTATAGAACGGTTCCATGGTCACATCAGGACTGGTTCGACTAACACAGGTGGAGCAGAGCCTGAAGTGTCCTAGCGTATCTAGCAGTGCGCGACCACACGCACAGTGCACACACTCGACCCTTTGCAGCATAAAAATCGGGAACGAACAAGCAGGTCGGCAACGGAACGTCAGAGATTCAATTTAGAAAAGAGGCAGCATAAGTCGAGCCAAGTTATGATGGTCAGGTCATACGTCATACTTCGTCATGCTTTCGACGTCATACTTTCAGAGCTAATTTGAAAACAAAAACAGAAACAAAAACTCAACAACAACATTCGTGACGTAAACATAAACACAGAGCTCACACAAAACTTCGCCTTGATGGCGTTTCTGTTTACAATCCAAACACGGCACCTCTTCCACACCACAGCGGCCTATTAGCACGGGCTGTAACGCTCCGGTCTTCACAACGGGCACAGTGCAGTGCCAGGACACTTACTCACGTCAAGTGTGCAGTGCCCGGACACTGGTCTACGTTTAGTGTGTAGGAAAGGAAAACGTTCCTGTCTGACGCAGTCCCTGGTTCGCACAGGTGGTAAAATACCGCGGACACTGGTCCCAACAGCACCTGCAATGTCTGGCAGCTGGTCTTCACAGAAACTGCAATATCCAGGTCCCAGACCCCCGCCGTAGTGAGTAGTCAAGTAATAATGACGGTAGTAGCGACCACAGTATCCGTTCCTCAGCCCCGTGTTTGTTTGTTGGGGTTGTAGATCGCACTACAGTATACAACACTCGGTCTCTGGTCCTTGCAGCAACCACAAAACCTACTGGTTCCTGTCACGTGGATCCCACAGCTGAGCATGATTGGTTTCCGCGTAATATGACACTCCGATAGCTGTTTGAAGCACCCGACTGGCGGATGACCACGGGAGTCTTGAAGTGAGGCTAACTGGGAAGAAACATCTCACCCTCTTCTGCCGATGTAAGAGCTCGAACAGAGTAAGCTTTATTCCACTGAGCCGAGGCCATAGGTCGCGTGAGCGATAAAAACGCGTATGTTTGCATGTTGCCGATTACGAACGAATTACGCCCTATCAAATGTAAACACTTAGCCGCGAGATCGACGTGCTAAAGTTAAAGCTCAGCATGTCACCGTTTACATCGTCTGCAGGGTAGCACTCGGTAAACAGAGCGGCGTTCATCCGTGAAGTCGCTAGTCGACCGGTCACGTCATGTGGTCAGTTGGGCTCTGGACATCGACCGCCGCCGCTCGGCGTTTCCGAGGGTGGCCGATCAATGTCCCATGGCGCTCACCGACATATGGCGACCACGGTCTGTTCACAAGACCTTAGAATCCAACTGAGCCCGGTCATGGCACACTACAGCAGCTCAGGTCACGTGAGGTCAGTTTACGTAAGGTTAGTTCATGTAAGGTCAGATCACGTTAGGTCATGTCAGGTCAAATAATGTCAGATAGATCAACAGATCGATGCTGTCTTCAGCAGCCACCCGAAATGCGGCTACTGATCTCGATATGGTCCCCAGATAGTCTACAGTCCGAAAAGTCCTACTAACTTAAGCTTCCCTTGGCCGTGATACGGCTCTTCCTGACAATGTCAAGCACCCAGCTCCGCTCTAATAAAGGCTGCCATCCAGATCTGCACCGTGGTAACTAATCCTCATAGGCCTGAGGTCAGCTAAGCCGGGATAGAACACAGGCCGTGACGGTCATGGAGAAGAGTCACGTCGTGACGGTCGGGACAATCGTGACACAGCGTGACGTGGCGGATCAGCGGCCAGGTCACTGTCGTGGATTTCTGAATCCCGTGACCCAGCCAGATGGCCGGCAATGGATAGCGGTTCGGTCCGAGACCCGGCAGTGGTCTCATAACGAACAGCTGGCGCCGAGCGAGGCACCGACTGAAGCTCTCCCAGGGGCGTGTTGGAGGGCGCTCAATAGGCCGGTCGATGAATGGTAGGATGGAGACGGTGAAGTGAATAGTGAACGGTACAAAAGGCAGTCACAGACCCACTCTTCAGCGAGCTAGCAGAGCCATGATGGTGACAGTGGCAAACGGGGGAGAGCAGTCCGCTAAACGGCGCTGGTCGTAACGGAGGCAGATTTCAGGGCTGAAAATTTCGCACACGTGTAAAGAATGCGGGTCGGGTATCAAAGCTCAGTTTGATGAATGCTGTGAAGTATATGTTCAAATGCAAGTATCGGCTTTGCTATTATGCAGAGTGACCGGGATGTCGCTCAGTGCTCTGGAAGTGTCAACCATCCCGGGCCGTGTCTCCCCACACTCGGTGTTCGTAATATCGGCTTTCCTGAGCCCCCATCCCTCTCCGCTCGAAAGTTGTGGTGTCAACCGCTCTTGGACCCCGGGGTCGCCGTCATCGCGGGATGGACTGACACGAAACGTCCGAATGCCTTGGCCCGCTTTCTTTCCTCGCGCGTGCCGCCGTGATATGAGGCGTCACCAACGTCTCTGGCGGCTGGTCAAACACCGTCGCGTGGCCTGGGCGTGCTCGCACCGTCGTCCATCGCACCGGCCTGGGGTGGCTGTGTGAACAGTACACTATTCACACAGCTGATCGCACGCTCGGTCGGCCGTTTAAACACCGTTCTGTGCCGGCGCATTCGGTGCCGGTGGCGAGTCGTGCGCGTTCAGTTACCGACTCACGGCCGGCGGCCGGCGGTGGTCCATGGGCGGGCCGCCCACACGGGCTGCGACGGCCGCCGACCGACCGTCGACCGCCGCCGGGCGCGCGGCGACCGCCGGCAAAACATCCATATGGGACCGGAACCGGCGCTTCCACCGCACCAAATCCCACCACACCATACCACAGCAGTTCTGCCCACAGGCACAGCTGGCACTGAAATTCGGTACACCACAGGCCAAAATAACTCATCACTGCATGAAAACACGTCAGTAAGCCCATCACCAAAACCACCACCATTCTACCCAAACCTCAGTGCAGCCAAAGCAACGTAAGGCAATGAGCTACCATACTTACCTCATTCACCATCCACGTCAATACCGCCACCAGGGCCAAAGCAGCGTGCTCTTACACAGCTCTGTTACTAACCTCTCATCTGATGAATATGGTCATCGTACTGGGCCGAGAGTTTCCGCAGGGGGTCGGTCCTGACCGGCTCGGCGGCCCGTGCCGCGTACGCCCGCGGTCTCTGCGGCCAGCGGGGGGCACCATAGAGCGGCGCCACGGCGAGCGACACTGTCCTGCGAGGGGGGACCGGCGGCGCGGCGGTCAGAACAGCCTCCTCTGCCGGTGGTGGAAAGAGTTCGCGTCTGGTCGCCAGCGAGATGCGTCTGGAGGGCGGGCTGCGCTCGGCTCTCACTGGGGTTCCGTCGGGCCATCGCGCTAGGGCGGGGCTCACCGGTTCCAGCGAGGTTAGTCTCACGTGATGTCTCTCCAGCCGCGGCGAGCGCTCCAGGCTGCCGGCCGAGCCGGCCGCGACGCATGTTGGCACACTCACAGGCGTCCTGCACGAATCACACGTGGTCGGTGGGGGCAGGGCGGCGGCAGCTTCTGAAGATGGTGCACATCTCGCAGTCGCTCCCACTGTTCCCGGCAGCACTCCGTTCGCAGAGCCAGCCGTTCCCTGCTCTCCTCCTCCGCGGCCATTGGGGCGTGCCGGCTCCACGGCCGGCGGTGCTCCGTTCAGTGCGGGCCTCATGTGGGGTCCGGCGGCGGCAGCGGCGTCCTCCTCCTCGCCATCGCTGTGACGGCGCGACAGACACGAGCAGAGCGCGCCGAGCGGCGGCCGGCCTGCGCGCGCCGGCCACGATAAGGCGTGCCGCGTGTCGCCGCCGGCCGGCAATATTGATCGCGGCCGGCTGTCTGCCACGGTGCCGCTCCGATCAGCTGACCGGCCGGCCACGCGGTGCGGGCCGGCGCCACGAGGTCCGGTGGATGTCCGGCACGGCAGTGGAGGCGCCGAGTCCAGCAGCGGTCCTCCAGACAGCCGGCTGTCTCACGTCACCGCTGTTACGTGGAGCAGCCAGGTGACACCCGACGGACACTTGCCCGTCAGCTGACGGACACTTGTTAGCGGAGCGGCACTTGACTGCGGCCGAAGCGCACCTGGTGAGCGCTACGAGGCGTTACCGCGAGCCGTGCCACAGGTGTCGGCGGTCGCAGACCGAGAACCCGCAGACCGAACGGTGACAGGTGTGTGCAGTCACAGATCGAGAACCCTCTGGCTGAACAGTCTCCGGCACCGCACGGGCGCTTCGCTGAGAATGGAACAGCCGTAGGGACAATTACCGCATAACGGCGACACCACTTTGGCACAGTCACTATGGGATCTGCGGTTCGCACACCTGCACACCATTCACAGAAGCTCGGGTATTGCACGATCTAAGCCCGCGGCGGGCCACCGTACTACACCACACAGGCCGTGAGCTAGCCTCACTCGTCCAGCGCCGTCCAGGAATGGCTGTCCTGCGACTAGCCGTAAACACACATCGGCGCAGATTGCTCTGGGTCTCCGTCCGACCGCAGCGCGAAATCAATACTGAAGCCAAGGTCGGTGCCGGTCGCCGTCAGATCTCCCGGCCCGGACCGCAGATCGCCGGTCACTGTCCACTTATACGCAGCTCTCCAGCCATACAGACACACGGCGGTCACTGCGCGGTGGCACCAAGATAACTGAGTCGATGGCGCCGGACCGCGGCCGCCGCTCGTGCCCGCCTGAGCGCCGCGTGCCACGCAGGCCGATGCCGCCGCCGGATCGCACGTGACGGTACTGGCGGCGCGGCGACGGACCACTGCCGCTGCGGCCGCCGCGACCGGCACCTGACCGCAGTGCGTGACGTCACGCCGACCGCGACACAGCGCGACCACCGAGCCGCGGCGGTAGCAGCGAGTAATGGGGCAAACCCGCACCACCAAAACCAGGTGAGGTGGCAGTCGCTGGATAAGGTGGATCAAAGGCTGTCCGGTGGCTACAGCTGACCGGTACGTCACCAGACTGGTCTTCTGAGCTGGATCGGCCGCCAACCGGCCGTGGTGTTTATGCATGACAGACTGGTTTTGTCACGAGGGGAGGTGAATTACTGCAGTAAATTTTACACCGGCTTTGAATCAAATGTATGCATACTGCAGGTGTGATCAAGGCCGACCTGCTACCATCGTTTTATGTTCAGGAAAGTACTTGAGACAACGTGATATGTTGCTGCTGATCGCCGAGCCACAAATAAATTGTAAGAACTCGACCTACAAAAACAAGCAGTCCCATTCCCATCAGAATAAAAATGGTCAAATCATGAACATAACCACGCGTCTGGAGTAAGCGCCTACAGCAGTTAAGCTGAACCGGATAATGGCATGGATTCACCGTGACGGCATGGTTGCTGCCGGAAGCCGCAGCAGGTACTCACTGCACACGAATAAAAGTGGAATCAGCGCAGCGGAACGAGACGGTCGCCCAGCGTGCCAAACGGTGTTGTCAGATCATGAAGGATGAAAACTATTGAAGAAGGTGGACAATGGACTGTGAGCAGCGGCTGGTGGACGGCAAGCAGTGGATGTGGATGGCCGACGGTGGACGGTGGCCGGTTGACAGTGGACGGTAGTGGAAGATGAGCGGCAATAACATGAAACTACCACAGTGCCATGAGAACCCTCGCAATGGACCCCGACTTCTGACGACGAGCCGGAAGACAGCTGTGACCAAAAACCTCCACCAAAGCTGGCGTGCATACTCCGACGGACAGCCACCGCACCGCGGCGTCGACGGCGGAGCAGTGGTCCGGAAACCACACACCCCACCGGCACGGCGACAGACGGGCCGGCGGTCAGCGGCCGGAACGAGCTTACAGCGGATGATGATAGGTGTAAGGGGTGGGGTTACGGATAGACGGGGGATGGAACAGAAGAGCCCTCAGCCAGCCTTTGCACAGCGGAGGTCCGCACTAGTAATTCACGCCGGCAGAAGAGAAGGGCCCTAAACTTATCCCAGTACAGAGAAAGGGTAGACGAAAAGTCCATGTGAATTTATGCGGAAAACATCACTAATGCAGACATGCCAGCTGATCAATGCGGGAAATGCGAATACTTCATTCTGCATCACCGGTAGACCCCGCAGACCCCGAGTCGGCGCTGTAGCGACACCTCCAGTTACAGGAACACCGATGAGGGGTGCCAGTCCGGTCTTCGCAGCCGACATTAATGTATTTTCCACGGACAGTACAAGTTCAACAGTTCAACAGTTCAACCGAAGGTAACAGCCGGCCACCTGAGGTCATATTAACCAGCCACCGCACAGTAAAGCGTTTCCATGAAACACAGCCATCGGGGGTCGTCAGATCACATGCCTGTTATTCCGGGTCAGGAGACACAATTGGGTCGGTCACAAACCACGGACCACCCTACAGTACAGAGAACAGACTCCTGTTGACCTGAAGTTGACTTAAGTTGTCCAAGCGGTCTGTCTATCCGCGATAATCACTAACCAGACTGATAGACTCCAATGGGCCGGAGAGGTCAAGTGGAGACCGGAAAGGGCCTAAGCGGGCCCGTCACAAGTCGGTCGGATCTAATGATCAGCAGCGCGGCAGACGTCAAAACATGGCCGGTCGCCAGTTGGGCGTCACAGGCGTCACGGGCGCCGTCACAGCCGTCACCGTCGGCCAGGTGACGTGCCGTCACTCGCCCGACGGGCGACGTCAGTGCGGTGACGGCCGACCGTCACAGCCCGGGCTGACGGGCCGCGGTCACGGCCAACGACCGAGGACGGGGGACGCAGACACCTGGCGCGATCCCCGGGGATTCTGTCACGCCGAGCCGCGACCCACGGCTCTGGTAGGTCAGCAGTGGAGAACGCAGGGCAAGGTTAAGCCGATATGTCCATTTTCAATGTTACGACAGATGTGTGAGATAGCTGGGTTTACAACGTGTACAGACCTTTGTCCATTAATTGAATATTCCAAACTAAAAAATCCAGCCATGTAGCGCTGCTAACAAAATAAGTGCTGGATCGGCTAGCGGCCAGTAAAACCGAGCGGGTATGCCAGTATGCCACGCCCCGAAGCCCTATCGGCCCGACAGCGACAGGGCGACCGGCGGCCGACCGGCGGTGTCATCAGCCACCGCCGGGCCCGACGCCACCAGAAATAGAGCCGCCGTCGGCAGTCCGACCTGGCCGGCGCGGCCGTCGAGGGGGGCTCCACGAGCCGCCGCTGCCGGTCGGTCCGCGGGCACAGCCGTTCAGAGTCCCACGGCGTGTCGGGTTGACAGTGAACGCTACAACAGTTCACCGAAAGACAATGATGCGCTGCAGGTGCGCGCACACCACATGCAGTGCGCTTGCCCTAAAGGTGGAGACACGCTGCGTTACTGTCGCCGTGGGCGTGAAGTAGTGACCGTACCGTTCCGCCGGACCAGCCGGCAGTTATATCCCGATGAGTTACCCACCTATAAATCTCACTCCGCAACGGTGAAACAGGGTGACGGTGGGGCAAGTGATGCCGTGACAGAGTAACGCTGTAACGTAACAGGGTAACGCTATAACGAGGCGGTAACAGCATGGTGCCGTGTAGCGTAACGGAACGGTGAACGACCAGCCGCCCAATGTCCTGAATCGTACCGCCCGCCGACATGAAGCTAAAGCCACGGGCGCACGGCCGGGCGGTCTGGTAGAGACCGCCAGGATCACGGCTGGGTATTGTTGGCGGAGCGCCGGCCGGCCGGCACTAACAACCACCCATGACTCAGGTGCTCGTTAGCAGTTCACGGTGAACTCCAATACAGTGTTCGATTCCCAGGCGGCAATTGCCGCCGGCAGCGAGCGAGCGAAACGAAAGAGCGGGTCGAACAAACGACGGGTATCGACACCGGCCGTGGCGCCGTGGTCACTGCTGCGGCCTCCGGCGCCGCACAGCCTTCAGAAGCAGGACTGCACTCCGCTCGCCTATTATGTGGAAAATGACAGCGGTTGGGTGGGTGGTCGTGTTATAATCCCACTCCCTGGTGAGCAGAAGTCGGCGGCCCATCAGAGAAGTGGGCAACTCGGCCTCACTGGGCACGGCCGTCGGCGGGGAAAGGGCGCGGCTCACGCGACCGGTGGGCAGTCACGCCAACTAGGTAGGTATCGCTCGTCGGGACCGTCGCGTCGGGTGACACTGTCCCTACCAACGCTGCCTGTTCTTGCATCCTGGCAGGTCTCACCGTTCGTTCAAAGTTAGGACCAGTTCATCCAAAATAGCCATACATTAGAACCGTCCCATTCCCATCCCAACCCAGTGCCCAATGCCATTCGACCTAATGCCATCTATCCGGAATGTCCCATTCCGTCCGACAGTCCGTTTCGTCTATCCCTACCCCTAGCCGTCCCAAAACCCACCAGGGCCGTCTTGTGGGGTCCCAACGCCAGCCAACGGGACCGTCTCAGCCCGTCCCGTAGGTGCTCTACAGAGACGCCGTAAATAAAGCCGGCACACATCCGCTCGTGTCTGTCAGGGCGGCTCCAGTTCCGCACCGCCTGGAAACCGGAACAGCAGCTGCGGAGAGCTCACAGACGCGCCGAGGAGTGACGCCCACAGAAAAACCAGGTGAGAAAGGTTTCCGACTAGGTCGGCACTTCAACGGGAAAGTTTTTACCCCGTCTATAGCGACCCGCCAAACACTGAGGGGATTTGTACGACTTTTTTCCAATGGTGCAGCATGAAAACCAACAAAATGGCTAAGGTGGTTGAGACGGTTGCTTGCATCTGTAAAAGGAGGAGCAAAAAAGGAGACGGCATAATTAGGAGAATGTCACGGCATAATTGGGTCGTGTTTGCGCTGACAAACACGGCTGCGCCGGCACGGAGCTGGGCTGACGGAGTGCGGTGTCCACAAACACGGCCTGGCGAACACAAACAGCCACGAACAAACAGGGAGAGTGCGCCGGGCGGCGGCGGCCCGAACCTGACCCGGGCCGACCCGGTCGGCGGGCGGAGCATATCGATCGGACCTTCCGCCGGGGAAAGGCCACGCCCTAATTAGTCCTTTTCACGAGATGAAATACGAAACCAGGGAAATGGGGAAAATGCTGGTGGGAAGACAGAAGTCAGCAGACACAAAGCAAGCCATCGCCAGACACCAATGCTCACAGGTTGCTGCACACAGCACTGCACAGTGCACATTATCAGCTGCAGTGGTCATCATCTGGGCTGACAGTAGGTCATTCCTCTTCAGCCTGCCTCTTTACAGCGGGCATTGCACCTTGGGGACATCGTGGCTAGAAAAACCTTCGTGAGTATTGTAGCACGGTAGAGCTTGCGGCGAGGCGGGTTTCTCTAGACGCACTGCGCTTTTCATTACCTGTTGGTGCAGCTAACGAGCGTGCGTCCCTGAATAAACTGCGCACCTCGGGAGGGAGGGAAATC